GTAACGTAACACTAGTCGACGCCAGTCTCTACTACCTAGGTAAGAGGTAGGTGCCGCTTATAAACGTAGATAACTATACGGCCTTTACCCTTATAGACCTGCCGGTACTTTACCTACACTAAGTAGTAGACTGTCTTTGTCTGTTTGTTATACTATAGCTCTTAGATTACTATAACGTCGGCTTTACGGCTATTATAAAGTACTAGTATACTATTATTAATTTTATTACTAAGAGTCTAGGATCTACAAGTCCTACGTTATAAAGGGGTCGCTAGACCTCTAGTTAGTTCCCTAGCTTAACATCTCTATAATATTATAGCTCTAAACCGTTACTATGTCTAGCGCCCTAATAGAAGGGCGTCTACGCCTTACTAGAGTCCTTGCTATAAGCTTCTTATTATTGCCTGTCTATAGTCTCTTAGGTGTTACAACCTAGTAGCTATTGTCGCTATCTTATAAGGACGCTAGCGTAACGCTAGGTACTCGGCTAGTAAAGCTACTCTTTAATACCTTAAACTGTCTAGGTCTCTACTAATATATAGTATGTACCTACTCCTTTACCTTAAGGGCCTTAAGATACTAATAGTCTTACGCCACGTATAGTCTACTATAGTTAACGTATCTCTTTCTACTATTAAGTTAAGGGTACTCCTCTTTACCTTAAGGGTACGCTACTCTTACGTAGTAGTTGTACTAGGCCTAGTTCTTATAGAACCGCCTAATATAGCTAAACTAGTAGTACTAGAAGTATCTTTAGATTCGTAGGTCGGCTAAATACAGCTTATAGTTAAAGATCTAGGCTTATTAGATTAGCCCTTGTTTATATAGGCGTATCACTACGTTAGCGCTTTAAAGGTATAGTACTATTATTATAAACTTTGTTATAAAGGCCCTAACAAGCTCGACTTTAACCTTTATAATATGTAGTACGTAGGTTTAGATCTTTACTAGTAGCGCTCTTAATTCTACTTATATAACCCGGTCTGCCGGCAGGCCTTTTACGATTATTACAAACTTACTCTTATAAAGCTAGGCTATAGGCCTAAACGCCCTCTATACCTAGCCCTAATCCTAGATCGTAGTCTTTAGTATAGCCTCTTTAAAGGTAAGGATAGTGTTACTACTAGAGAGCTAGTAGGTCGCTACTACCTTAGCGCCCCTAATTACTATGTTAGCTGCCGTTACTACTTTAATAGCACTATAACGTACTAGGTCTTCTGTCTGTCTATCTACTCTAATCCTTAGCTCTCTAATCTGTCTCTCTAGTATTACTTATACTCTTGTTAGGCGCTAGCCTACTACTAACGCGTACGTAGCCTAGAGGGCCGCCGCTACTATTAGCCTCTAGAAAGCCTCTTTTAATATCGTTCTTAATTACCTAATCGTTACTAGGTCGTCGTTAGAGAGGGTCTTAGGGGTACGTAAGAGAGTCTTTGTATTTACTACCTTTAGCTCTACTACTACTATCGTTATTATAATAAGGTCGTAAAGGAGGCGCGACGCCTTATCCTCTTTACCTAGTATTATGTAGGCTTTAATTCTTTGTATAATTTTCTTTGTCTTATTGTCCCTACTACCCTTACTACTCTTTAGCTCTTTACTATAGCTCTTAGTTAGGGTATAAGAGTACTAGCTCCTACCTGTAAGTAGGTAGTATTAGCTCTGTTTAAGTCTAGTACACCTACTATCTGTTACTATAAGCTTGCCTATAGTTTGCTAGCTCTTTAAAGGGTATCTAAAGGTACTAATTTTGATTCTATTGTTTGTTTTCGAGTTTTTAGGGTAGTAAGGAGCGTAGACGACTGTCGTAAAAAAATTTTAATAATTCGTAAAAAGATATTACCTTAAGATAAAACTAGAACTAGAAAAAAGAAAAACCTTCTTTAATTAAAAAAGGACTAAAGCCGATTATAAGTAGTAGTATTATTAATAAGTATATAATTCTGTTACTTATTAGCTATATTTATAAAAAGAATAAAGAGACCTTATAATAGAGTAAAAGGTCTAGATTATTATTACTATACTAGCGTTAAGCTAGTCTAACTAACTAGTGATCTTATAAGTAGTGTTATCTAAAAGGTAGTAGTAGGTTTAGCTTAGGCCTACTATCTTATAAATAAGGTACTAAGAACTTTTGTATAAATTCCGCTACTTGTTAAAGGTAGTAAGAAAGAAAATAAAAGAGCTATCTATTATATAAGGTAAAAGGTAAGTAAAAGTAATCTTTTAAGCTAAAAAGACAAAAAAGCTAAGGTAAGTAGTAATAATAAAGTAAGTATACTTTACTACTTTTCTTACCTAAAAGAGGTATTTAAGAAGAATCTAGCTAAGGAGTTAGTAAGAGCTAAGAGAGAAAAGAGACTAAGAGAATTATACTTTATTATAAAAGAAACGCTACTAAGTATAATAATTATAGATATTATCTCTTAACGCCTTCTTATATTAGTATATAAGGTTTAAAAACAGTATTTTAATATAGTAAAGACAGTAACCTTAGAAAGGTAACTACTTTATACTAATAAGCTCTTACTACTATATATATAATAAGTATACTACTAACCTTAAGTAAAGGTTAGTAAAGGATAGTACTAACATAAGATAGTATATATACTACTTTATAATATAGGTCTACTTTAGTAACTAACTAAAGAGGTAGTAACGTCTCTTATAGTACTACCTTCTCCTTAGTTAGTTATAGTAAGCCCTTCTCTCTTTCTTTTCTTATTCTTATCCTTATTCTCTTTTCTTTTTCTTTTTTTCTTCTTACTAGCCTTACTAACTCTCTTCTCTCTCTCTCTTTCTTTATCTTCTTTAGTATTTTCTCTCTTAGACTCCTTAGCGCCCCTTTCTTAAGCTTAGACTAGTATATCTCTTACTAACTTATTAAAATAGTCTAAGTTATTATTATTATTAATATTATCTTTACCTTTATCTCTTTCTTTATCTTTATCTTTATCCTTACTCTTATCTTCTTCTTCTTTCTTTTCTTTTACCTTATATACTATAGCTACTACTTCTTACTTAAGAAAGGTAGTACGCTTTATATAGACAGACTAAATAAAGGAAATTAATAAGAAGGTATCTTAAGAAAGTATTATTATTGTTCTTACTGCCTATACCTACTACATACAGAACCTCTATACTACATAAATTACGTAGTAAAACCGTGCTAAAGCCGGGTAAAAACCTACGTGCTACTACTTGTGTTTATACTATTACGGCGCCGCTAAGGCGCCGGGTCCTTATTACTGCCCTACTAGAACTTAACCTTCTAGCCTAGTAATACTAAACATACTAACAGGACGCTAGTAAGGCGCTAGTAGGGCGCCGGCTACTAGCTAAGGCTACTCCCTCTCCTATAACTTCTCTACTAGGTAGCGCTTAGCTAGACGGAACTATAGGAATTAGCTAGTAGACAGTAGTTAACAGATTAGTATACAAGCGCTCTTGCCTTTCTCTATTACTACTGTAAAGTCGTAGAACGTCCGTAGCGCCCTTAGGTAGAGCGCTTGCCGTAAGGCCTACTACTATTAATCTAGCTACTAGTAGTTAAGGACTAGGTAAGCCGCTGTCTCTAGGGCCTTACTGTAAGGGCACTAGGAGGTCGCTACCTCTAGTACTCTACGCTTAAAAAGGAAAGCCTAGAGTCTAACTTTACTAGTATAGATCTGTGTTAAAAGAGAGCTCTTGTACTTATAGAAGAGTAGGTACTTCTTAAGGGCATCTGCCGAGAGGGCAGGTAGCGCGGCTAGGGCGGCGCCCTAGCGGTATGCCGGTAAGCTGTCGTATTAAGACTATCGTGCCTTCTAGTTCCCCTATAAGGTCTCCTTTAGGGAGGAGTCCCTACACTAGTCCTTTGCCTATACGGCTCGGCCTGTCCTATACTTAAGTAACGTATAAGGTAGTACTATAGTAGCGCTATAGTAGTGTCTCTAGCGTTATTAAAGACAGGCCGCTACCTTATTACAGATAGACTATATAAGTTCTTCCTTACCTATACGTTTAAGACGTTGTTTAAAGTCCGCTACCTACTTGTTAAGGTAGAGGTCGAGTAAGGGCGTGGCCGTTTTAGACTTAAGGAACCGGACAGGCGTTACCTAGTACGCCCTTACGACAACGTAGAGACACTATAACTACTTTATAGCGAGGTCTTTTACGATCCCCTTAGCTTACTACCTAGAGGGGCGGTACTAGACCCTTGTACTATATACTATAGTACTCTAGATCACCTTTGTATAGATCTCCCTTACGCGTAGCAGGCTACATCCCTACGCAGACGTAGCGAGCCTTATAAGCACGAACTACTAGGTAGCGAACTTTTGTTTAATAGTGTTAAGGTAGCCCTTTTATCTAAGCTTCCGGTCTAACTAAACTCCTAGAAAGCGCGCCTCCTAGACTAAGGGTATAACCCGGCCGTTAAGGTAGACAGGCGTTGTTAGTATAGCGTAGGCGTAGGTAAGGTAAAGGAGCTTACTCTTTTCTAGGGCGAACTCTATCCCTCTTGTACGCGACTACTAGCTATATGTCTACTACGCCCCTTTAAGGTGCCGGCGTGTCTCTATCGTGTCTCTACTAAAAGTCAAGAGGTTAAGGTCGTTAGCGAACCCTACTATAATAAGGCCTGTATAACCCTATAGTAGCGTGTATAAGCTAGTAGTATAAAGGAGGAAGAGGATAAGAGAGAAGGACAAACCTTACAGTACCCTTACAGTAACTTCTTAAGGCAGCGCCACCTCCTTATTAAAGAAGAGACTAGCCGTCCGATTAGTAAGGAAGCTACGCACCTACTATACGGCCTACATAAGGAACCCTAGGTACTAGAGAGTATAGAGAAGGCGTATATAGTTTACTGTATTAAAGGCGCCTTTAATGTTAAGTTAAAGGAGGGACGCTATAGCCTTATAGCTCTACGCTATATACGTAGTGTTAACTATCATTTTAACTACAAGGTCTGTTAAGTACTATAGCCGGTTCCTTATCTGCGTTTCCGGGAGGAGCCCTTACGACTCTATAGCTTTAGTAAAACGCCGGCTAATTACTGACTCGATTACTTTACCTATCGCGTTTAAGAGTAATATCAGCCTGTAGGCCCTAGCGGTTTGTTACTACTCGAGGGTCTTTCCGGGCTTATGTAGTACTACTACCTTTACTACTTTAAACTGTACGGGGAAGTGCCCTAGCCAGAGGCTTGTAGTTACTATTACTATAAGGAGCTTGGCTAGGGGGCGCCTGTATGCCTTAAAGAAGCCGGTAGGTAGTAGGTTAGGGCCTAGCGCCTTCTAGGCACCTGTCTTTTAGAGAACGTTAGTAATATCTGCCTCTGTTATAGTGTCGTTAATAGTGAACTATTAGTACTACTTGTCCTAGAGGTCTAGAACAACGTTACTAAGATTAGCTATCGATTCCAGAAAGAACTGTCGGCCTAACACTATTACTTTGTTATAGTAGCTCGTAGCTAGTACCTCTCTGTCGGCGCCCTAAAAAGGCAGGAGTAAGGCCGGTTCTAGGGGCACATAGCTATAGAGCCTGGCCTACCTCTTAAGACTCTATAGTTTCCGTTAGTCCTTTAAGGTAGCGGTAAGGGCGCCGCGCTAGCTCTTAGTTTTTGCGTCTTGTATTATACAGAGTTAATAGGTGCTAGCCTACTAGAGGTCGCGCTAGTAGAGCTTAGTCAGGGCGGCGGCGTATTAACGGCGCGCTACCCGTACTTACTAGACAGCCTTAAGGACCTCGCTATTCTACTAGGGCTTAGTACGCCCTTAGTTAACCTTCCTCCTTAGGGTAGATATGTCTGTAATGTGTACGAGCTAAGAGGTAAGCAAGTCAACTGCCTCGTCAACCTTATAAGGTATGTCTAGCGGCTCTAAAGGGAGGCAGAGCCTCCTAGCCTTAATCGTTACTAGTTCTCTGTCTATTAGGGTCTAGCTCTATCCTAGTACCTTTACAGCTCTCTCTTAGCGATCCTCTACTTAGGTAATAACCTTAATTAGCTAGGCACAGTAGTCGGATCCCTTATACTCTAGGTTACCTTAATAGGTACACTAGAGCGTTGCCGTAACCTACGCGTAGTTAATCGTTAAGTCTTGTTCGTTATGTCACTATCGTGTTAGCTCCCTCTAGGGTGTGCGTAGCGAGAGCTACTACCTACAGGCCAGACGGAGAAGGGTCTCTAATTTAGGGGTAGTCCTACCGGCTCTGTCTTAGAGCAGGTGATGAAGGTTTATGTTACCTATAACGATCTATGGCCCCTCTAGGTCCTTCCTAGCGAGCCGCTAGAGAAGACTAGCCTAGCCTAGGGAGTTAGGAATCGGCGAGTATATTAACTAGATAGTGACTCTCTATAGAGTAACGTAACACTAGTCGACACCCGTCTCTACTACCTAGGTAAAAGGTAGGTACTACTTGTAGACGTAGATAGCTACTCTACCTTCGCCCTTATAGACCTGCCGGTACTTTGCCTACACTAGGCAGTAGACTGTCTTTGTCTAAGTATTGTACTACGGCTCCTAAATTACTATAACGTCGACTTTACAGCTATCGTAAAGTACTATTAAGGCAAGGCCGTTCCTTCTTATAGTGTTCTAGTATACTATCGTTAATTTTATTACTAAGAGTCTAGGATCTGCGATTCCTACGTTACAAAGGGGTCGCTAGACCCTTAGTTAGCCTCCTGGCTTAACATCTCCGTGATGTCGTGGCTCTAGACCGTTATAGTGTCTAGTGCCCTGATAGGAGGGCGCCCTTACCTTGCCGGAGTCTTTACTATAGGCTTCTTACTGTTACCTGTCTGTAGTCTCTTATGTACTACGATCTAGTAGCTATTGTCGCTATCTTATAAGGACGCTAGCGTAACGCTAGGTACCTGGCTAGTAAAGCTGCTCTTAGACACCTCGAACTGTCTAGGCCTCTATTAATATATAGCATATGCCTACTCCTTTACCTTAAAGGCCTTAGGACACTAACAGTCCTACGCCGCGTGTAGTCCGCTATAGTTAACGTATCTCTTTCTACTGTTAAGTTAGGGGCACTCCTCTTTACCCTAGGGGTACGCCGCTCTTGTGTAGTAGCCGTACTAGGCCTGGTTCTTATAGAACCGCCTAATGTAGCCGAACTAGTAGTACTAGAAGTATCTTTAGATTCGTAGGTCGGCCGAATACGGCTTGTAGTTAAAGATCTAGGCTTGCTAGATTAACCCCTGTTCGTACAGGCGCGTCGCTATGTTAGCGCTCTAGAGGTATAGTACTACTATTATAAACTTTACTATAAGGGCCCTAACAGGTTTAACTTTAACCTTTATAACATACGGCGCGTAGGCTTAGATCTCTACTAGTAACGCTCTTAGCTCTACCTGTGTAATCTGTTCTACCGGCAGGCCCTTCGTAATTATAGCAAACTTACTCTCGTAAAGCTAGGCCGTAGGCCTAAACGCCCTCTATACCTAGCCTTAATCTTAGATTACGTTCTTTAGTATAGCCTCTTTAAACGTAAGGATAGTGTCGTTACTAGGTAGCCGGCGGGTCGCTACTACCTTAGCGCCCCTTATCGCTATATTAGCTACTATTACTACCTTAATAACGCTATAACGTACTAGGTCCTCTGTCTGTCTGTCTACCCTAATCCTTAGCTCCTTAATCCGCCTCTCTAGTATAACCTAGACTCTTGTCAGGCGCTAGCTCGCTACTAATACGTAGGTAGCCTAAGGGGCCGCTATCGTTACTAGCCTCTAGAAGGCCTCTTCTAACATTGTTCTTAGTTGTCTGATCGTCACTAGGTTATTATTAGAGAGGGACCCGGGGGTGTGTAAGAGGGTCGTCGTGTTTGTAGCTCTTGTCTCTACTACTGTTGTCGTTATAGTAATAAGGTCGCGTAGGAGACGCGACGCCTCTTCCTTCTTGCCTAGTATTACGTAGGCTTTGATCCTTTGTATGATTTTCTCTGTCTTATTGTCCCTGTTACTCCTACTACTCTCCGGCTCCTTACTACAGCTCTTAGTCAGGGTAAGAGAGTACTAGCTCCTACCCGCGAGTAGGTAGTGTTAGCTCTATTCAAGTCTAGCACACCTACTATCCGTTACTATAGGCTCGCCTATAGTCTACTAGCACTCCGGGGGGTATCCGAAGGTACTGATTTCGATTCTATCGTTTATTTTTGAGTTTTTAGAGTAGTAGAGGGCGTAAACGACCGTTCTTTATCCCTTTATATGAATAATTACTTACTTATCTTAAGAAAGTAGTAGAGCCTTAGTTCTATAAGTATATATACCCTTAGCTAGGCCTTTCTTTTTCTTCTTCTTTTACTTTATCTTTATCTTTATCTTAGTTATTACTATTATTATCGTCTATACTACTATCTTTATTACTATTATTATCGTCTTTAGCTTTAGCTTTAGCTTTAACTTTAGCTAGGCTACTACTTTCTCTAGTACTACTCTTAATCCTAGCTTAGCTAGCGTCCTTTCTTTTTCTTTTTCTTACTTAGTAAGGGCAAAAGGTAAAGAAGGACGTAGGTTAGCTACAGATATAGGCCGCTTAGTAGGCTTTAACTACATAAGGTAAGAGTGTTAGTCTATAAGTAAGTAATAAGGAGTACTAATAATAAGGAATATATAAACCTTTAATAAAGTATCTAGACTAATCTAGATAAAACCTTCTTTTAGCTCTCTAGAGGTAGATCTATAAGTACTAAACATTATAAGAGAGCTAGGTAAAAATATCTTAGACTTACCTTAAGAAAGAGTAAAAAGGTTATTATTATTAATATTATTATTATTATTAAATCTACTTAAGATATAAGCGTTAGATTATATAAGGATAGACTAATTATTAGCTAAATTATTATATGTCTTTACTATAAAGGAACTAGCCTAAGAAGGCTTACTAGTATAGATATACTTACTAGTAGACTAGTAAAGTAAAAGAGAGTAGTTGTGTCCTTACTTTTATAAGGTTATAGTAAAGGTAGTATAAGGTATCTTAAAGAAAAGGACGATTAAGAGATATTAAGGTTACTTTAGGATTTTAGTTTTAAAAAAAGGAGTTTAAAAGTAAATAAAAAAGAGGAAAAGGTTATAAGTAAATTAGTAAAGAGAAAGATAGAGAGGTAAGATATTTATATAGAACATAATAAAGACCTCTTACTAGTAAGTAACTAAACAGGTAATAAGAACTAAACTAGATTTAGTATAGAACAATAATTAAGACAATAATTAAGACAGCTCTAAGCCTATATTAAGACAAGCCTATATAACGTCTTAGCTAGTAAATAAAGGCTACGCCTAATACGTGTACAAAACTAGTACTTAAAGTAGTTATAAAAGTAATTTATAATATAAAAAAAGAAGAAGGCTTATAAGATTAGAATTTTTTATCTTAAGAGTTAAAAGAATAGTATATAGATAAATAAAGAGTAACCCTTAAGTAAGAACTAAAGTAACTATAAGTAGTTATTATTTTCTTATTTCTAATCTAAGAATAAAGTAGAGTACTAAAAGTAGTCTAGTATATATAAGGTATACTATATCTATAGTAATATCTATAGGCTTATATAAAAGAGATAAGGACATAACAAAAGGACTAGTAATATAATAGTACCTTAGTAAGAGGGTTTTATTTTCTTTTCTTCTTATAGAACTATATATATACTAAAACTTAGATTAAACTCTTATAGTACCTAGTATAGGTATTTAATAAAGAAAGATGTTACTACTACTATAATTATCTATAAACAGTATAAACCTAACATTACTATAGTCCTAGATTAATATAGGTATCGTAGAATAAGTGTTAGTATTAAGAAGTAGTCTAAAAACTAAATTAGTAAACTAGCTATAAGTATAAGGCGTACCCTTTAATCCTTAACCTATTTACCTAAATAGATATTAGTTATTTAGTACTATTATTACTACCTTATATTTATTACCTAGTCTTATTAGTATAGCCTAATAACTATTTGTTATATCTAATAAGAAAAACACTATAAACTTAGGCTTAACTAAGGTATCTAAGACCTCTTTAATACTATATATAAAGTAGACTAGTTTAATAGTTAAAGTATTAATAAAGACAAAGTTATAGACTACTTAAAATTAGTTAGATCCCTTTTTCTTTAGTAAAAATAGAGTCTTTATACCTTATAGGCTTAATCCTCTTACTAAGATTCTAGCTTTCTCTATCTTAAGAAATACCTTTACTATAAATTCTCTTTCTTATTAGGTATATTACTTAGGTTTATTAACTATTAGTATTATACCTAAGATAAGGTTAATAATATGTTTAATTAAGTTAGTAGCTTTTACATCTTATATTTATATTATAAAGTAATCCTTTTATATATATAGTAATCTCTTAGTCTTTACTATTTTGTCCTTTATATTTATAATATTACTAATATTAATTCTAATCTTATTAAAATATTTGTTAATATACTATTATAAAGTGTTTAACATTAGTCTAAGTATAAGCCTTTTATTAACTAGAAAGCTAGATACTACTCTTTATAAGATAAGTCGATTTGTTAAGGTTAGATAGCTATATAAAGGTAGTTATAATAAAAATAGCGTGTTTAGATCTTAATTCTCTAGAGCTTATCTAATAGATAATAATGTATATATAATAATATTAATATAGTTAGGATTTAAATAAACAGATATAAGGTTAATATAAGTAGACGTATTACTATACTAGTAAAGAGTCTACTCTCTTACTAATATATACCTTTTCCTACCTAATATACTACTTAGTTAAACGTCTTAACCTCTTATAGTAGCTAATTTATATCCTTCTTAGTATCTTTATTAGAGCTAGTATTATTATTGTTATTAGTGTTATTAGAGTCCTTAACTAGAGTAGTATTACCTGTCGCCTTTAACTTCTACTAATTAATAGTAATATAAGAAGTTAAAGCTATTAATACTAGTACATCTATAATTAGGCCGCTTTGTCCTTATATATATAGAGTTCTCTTCTTATAATCCTTAATAGCTCTAACTAGAGCTATCTAGTGTCTAGATAGTAAGATGTTATAAGAATCGTTAATACTTATAATAAAAGCGTAAAGAAACGTTCTAATACCTTTTACTATTACCTTTAGGTTTATATATTTAGTAATAGCGATTTTCTAACTATTTACGACTATTATATACTATCTTATATCTAATTAATAGACCTTTAAGCCTAGCTACTATACTACCTAAGAAGGGATTAGCTTTACTATAGCTCTCTTATTAACTAGAGCTTATACAAACTTCTAGCTATCTATATAAGTATTTATATAAAGACATTATATTTCTAGTACATTAACTAGCCTATTGTCTATAACCTAAGGTAGAGGTCTATTTATAACTACTATTATATTAAGATTCTTATACTAACTACGTCTACTTAATACTTTAGCTTAGAGGTATTATACTAGTTAGGCTTAGATCTATAGTAACTAGTTAAGTAGTTAGCCGAATTTAAGAGTAATATTAGTATTATAAAGAAACTCTCTAACATTAAATCTTATAAGCGCTACCTTATCTAATAGCTTAATTAAGATAGATTTCTTTAGGCCTAGCTTAGTATAGTTAGGTTATAAGGATAAAAGAGGTAGTATAGCTAGTAGTTAAAGAGTATACTAATACCTTTATAGCTAGTAATCTAGTATAGTTTATAACTTATTAGCCTTAATATCTTTTAGATCTTTAACTCTTAATGTTAGATTAATTTCTTAGGATACATATAGCTAAACGTAAGGTCTAGTCTATAAGAGACCTACTATAGTTAGCGTTTATAATGTTAGTAAAGGAGTCTACTTATCCTCTTACCCCTTACTCTTATTTCCTCTTAGTTAAGTATATAGCTAAGTTTAATTAGAAGTACGCTAGTTATTTATAGAATAGATTACTAGTATAACAGGTATTAATAAGATACCTAAAAGTAGCGCTTATACGGCTTTTAGTACTATATTAGTACTATAGCCGTGTATTAGTCGCTTATAGTAGAGTATTATAGCTATAGTAAGGAATTCTTTTAATAACCTCTTAGCTACTAGCTTTAATAATTCTAATGCTAAGGGTTAAGTAGGCTGTTAAGCCAGATAGTTAAATTAATAAGACGTCTAATTCTATACGACCTCTTATAGTTCTCTTATAACTATATATATAGCTATCTACTGTCTTATAAGTAGTACTATATATCCTGTTCTTTAAGTTCTTATTATATTAACCTTCTACCTGTTCTTATAATACTAGGATTCTGTAACCCTAGTCTATAGACACGTTAATACTATATAACCTTAACCTAAACAGTTATAACAAGTACTTATATAGAAAGTTAATCTCTACTACTAAAATAGTATAGTTAATAAAAAAGGATTAGAAGGATAGTATAAGAGTAGTAAAGCCGTAGTCTTTAATAGTTTAGGCTTTTCTAGACTCTTCTTTAATAATTAATATAGCTTAAAGTTAATTTAATTCTAAGAGACTATAGTTTCCTTAATTAGCTCTTCTTTATTAATTTCTAAAGGATTTAGCTTCTTAATTAGCCTTATAGCTATAATAAACGCTAAATATATATCTTTAAATTTAGTATCCTTAACTAGCTACTTATTCTTATTAATCTTCTTTACCTAAAAAAGATAGCTCTATATATAGTACTAAAGTTCTACGTTCTTTAGCCTACTTAATGTTTGTCTAACGACCTCTAATACTAATAATACTAGACATTTTTTACTTAATTTTTTAATTTGTCGTAAATACTATACTTTAGTCTCCTTATTATCTTACTTAAGGTTATAGATTTATTACTATAGTAAGAATTATTAGTTAAAGTCTACTTTCTTATCTACTATAAATTTTGTCTTAAACTCTTTCTTTAATACTTTCTAGTCTACCCTTATAGTCTTTAGTTAACTCTTATACTATACTACTACTTAACTAGTTAGCCTATATCTAAAGACTACTTTTATCCTTCTAGTCTTCTTCTCTCTCTTATATATGTCTATATAGTATTTAATCGCCTTAATGTATTTACTTATATCTTTTCCCTTTGTTTTTCTAAAGGTTAGTTAAGGGATCGACATTATAATAGTTTAATACTTAGCTAGTACTATAATAAGAGTTACTAATAGTAAAGTAGTTAATATCCTTATTAATAGCTTTACTACTTTTATAACTAAATAGTCGATCTCTTTCTTTATTAGTCTTAATTAGCTTAATTCTAATACTTTTATAATACTTGTTAATAATCCCTTTTCCTTTAGAGAAAGAGATCTTAGAAAATTTAAAGTAGGTTTAAACAGATTAGACATTAATAATACTTAAAAAGTAAGAGAAAAAAAAGACTAAATAATAAGAGAAATGTAATAAGTAATCTGTAATTACTAATAAGTAGGAAAGTACGACTATACTACTAGTCGATCCTTAAAAATTACCTTAATTCTCGATACTAGTTCTTTATAAACTAAGCCCTTCTTCTTATACTTAAATAATTATACTAATAACGCTAACTTTAATAAGATAAACTAATTTTTACTAATCTTCCCTAGGTCGCTATATAATAAGTGTTAGGAGTCTGTTTATTAGTAGGTTGTATTTCTAAGAATAAAAGTGCTACTACTATAGGGATATATAGCTAAGCAAACCCTATTAAATAGTAGTAATATCATGTGACCATTTCCCATCGCTACAGTACCTAGGTACTAATGGAAGGTATACAGTCTAGGGTAAGCGAGACCCCTATACTAGCGCTAGTAATGTCTTAGCGGGGCGGGGCGAAGGAATAGTAAGGTTATACTAACATCAGCACGAATTTTAACTACAGCTCTTGACTTTACTCCCTCTTACAGCAACAGTTTCAAGATTCAAGATGTTGAAATCGTTAGGAGTGATCCTCTTTGCAGCTATTATAGGCATTTTCGTAATCGTACTCACCAAGATGCTCCAACAACTGGCCTACCAACCTTCACCTCGACCCCCTCGCTCGCCCTCACCCTCACTACCAAGTTCGCCCTTCCCGTCGCCTACAGGCACGCTCTACAACGAGGAAATCATCGTCTCTCTAATCAACGAGTTCTACTCACTCCTCGTTTCACTGGCCTACCTTCGACCCTCTCAGATCATCTATCCTCCTCCGGGCACCGTGCACAATATCAACGAGAAACTCTGCAAATCACTTAACATCGACGTTGCGGTCATTTCACTTATGAAGAGAATACCGTACATTGATGGACTGTACGAAGATGTTCAGAAGCTCGAGGGGTTTAACGAAGAAGCAAGCGCGTATGGCTGCCATCTATTCCCTGGCTCTAGGGGATATTCATTTTTGCGTGGCGACGATATCGTCGAGAGTCGTGACCCGGAGAATGATGGGGTTGAGGGAGTGAGGTTGAACTATCTGCTGAGCCATGATGTCGCGCTGTCGCATTGTTTGAGAGATGGGATGATTTTGGTGCTGGATACGAAAGCAAGTATGGTGCCGCTAATACTCCTACTTCCCTCGTGAGCTGATGGAAATCTACAGATACGGTGAGGGTACTAGAAAACAATTCTGGTCCAGACTTCGACAACCCTGAAGGTACGGTGCTTGAGAGACCGGAAGAGCCGAGGCATTACAGAAATTGCCACCCGCAGGACGCACCGTCTTACTTCAGGCATCTAATTGACAGGGTCCGGTCATTAGAGCTGATACCTTCCGGGCCCTCGAGGTGGCACAAAGAGTTCTACGGCTATAACATGGGCCATGAAGATGTAAGTACCTAATTCCGCGACGCAGGATTGACTAACTGGATCGGCAGCGCGAGCAGGTGAAGAAGGTACTCATAGAGGAGTACGGCTGGCCAGATAATTTCAGGCAGGAGGATTGGGCACGAGATGCAGAGGAGATTTGGAACAGGATTGCTTTAAGTTAACATATTAGATTATGTCCGAGACAAGACACCCCAAAGCACAATGGAGTACAAATCAGACTTTACGCCCGTGGCCTTTACATGCCGATACAGTAATAATACCCTGGCCATAAGTTCGCACAAGCTCCCTTAGCAGGGTTCCAAGCATAAAACTCGGGGGGTTGGGGTTGTGATTCCATACACTGCCGCAATGATGTTATCCTAAACCTGAGCTATGATATTGCTCCTCGAGATCAGCACTACGAACAAAATCAAGAGGGCTTAAATTCTCCACATAACGCCCCACTTGTTCTCAAGTCCATACTCGAAGGTCTGTCTGTTTAACTTAGCTAATGAACGTAAAGAAGAAGCTAGGCAAAACTTACAAGAAACAAGAAGATATTGGATCTCGAGAGGATACTCGTCAAATTCTACTTGAAGTGGCTACCCATAGTTATCATCATCTATTGGATCACCACGCTCGATGTAGTAGTCCAGAGCTGCGAGTTGAGTTGATCCAGCCGCACCTGTTGCGTCCGACCACTCCAGGTCAAATGGACTGTAGCAAGTGTTATTCTCGTCTACGACATACCCCTAATAGAAACTTTGTCCATTGAAACAACACTTATACGTGTTGTTAAGCCAGGTTGCTGCCTCATTCGGAACCATTTCGGTGATATTCCAACTGCCTACCGAATCAGCAAGAAAGCATTAGAGGTCTAGGTGGGTAACGCACGTCTTTCAACATCTGAGCATAAGTCTGATGTATCAGTGTCTGCCAAACAGATCAGATCAACTTTATGATATATGTAATCTATCCGGGAAGAGAACGTGATATTCTGGGTGTTAATTGTTACCATGGCGGAACCACACCCAGCCTCAACTGCTGTCGCTAGCTCTGCTAATGACGCCTCGCATGCTGAAGTGCAGAGGCTAGCCAGAGAAGACGTCCTCCAACCTGAAATTGTAGGTCACATCGGCCATGATATGCCTGAAAGAGTTGACTTACCGGCCGCTTGGATGCCATAGGTGGTTACTTGGATGATGTCTTCTGGACAGCCGATAGAAGTATTCAGGGATGCATCACAAGTGGTACTCAAGTCAGATGAAAAGATTAGTGTCTGCAAGCCGTTGTACGGCATAATAGCCATACTTTGGGCTGCAAAGGCGCCAGAATCCAAAAAAGAGAGAGCCATAGTTGATGATAGCAGATGGTCATGACTAGAGGAGGACAGAAAGAGCAGCTCAGCAGGTAAATTGTCAATTCTGGATGATGTAGGGAGTCTGCCAAACAAGAATGTGAATTAGAAGTACGATTTGCAGGTGGTTTCCATGGGTATAGTGCGAGCAAGGAGTCCTTGTGCTTGAACTTCAGTACCCTTACCCATTCAATTCCCTAAGATAATGAGTCTTGCAACTTTTTGGTAAGCGAGAAGAAAGTTGCAGGTTCCGCAAGAATTTTAGGAGCATATTTGTTGGTCTGACCAATATAGTTGCAATTGCTAAGTGTTAGAACTTAGATTAAGTTGATGGAGGGTGTTTGCGCCTCTCACCACTTGATTAGAGTTTGGGAGCCCGTTGGCTGTGAAGAAACGAGATTACTTCGGACTACAGACCTCTTCAACAGCCTCCTCCCTAGTCGTTTGCAGGGGGCAAAAACAAATAAAGCTCTGTTCATAGAAACGAATCAAAGCTTGCAGGGAGCTACACTCCAATTGACCCAATCATGTGTCTCAGTGATCACAACCGTCACATGCTAACATGTAGGCATGTTCATCTAAATAGAACAAAGAGCGCAGTAGTTTGTAACAAAAGAGCTATCACAGCCTTGATAGATACAATTGCTTATATTGTATAAGGTAGCTATGTAGCTAGCAGCTATGTATACTAAAGAGAGCGCTCATAGACATGTAAACAAACTGCAGCTTTTACCTTTTTCACCGACCGATAAAACTCAATAAGCCAAATAAACCAACTCCAAGTGCCATAGATTCTGGTTCGTCCAAACTCCAAGATTTCAGCATAGTCTATACCACACAATTTCGGCATACTTAAGTCAACGTCCACAACATCAACTTCTTAAGCCCCTTTGGCAGAGGCTTCTTCGTCTTCTTATTAGAGGATGGAGCTACTGGACTTCCAATGAGCCCTCCATGGTTCTTGTTCCAGTTGATAATATCATCTCTCATGGCCTTAGCATCCGCTTTCTCTTGGGCCGAGGCGCAGTCCTTAGCTGCAATATCCCACTTTGTAGGCGGGTACTCAGGCTGCACCCTTGGGTGCCTCTCGCCTCCAACCATTACATTGACGAGGTTCCTGCCTCCTGTGGTCAGCTTGGCGAGGACAGGTACTGTCTTGGGATCTATGACGGGCCTGCTTCTGTCTGCACGGCTCGCATCGATGACGTTAACAAGGTACATCGGGAATTCCGAAAGCTGTTGCCTGGCCTTTAGTCCATTTGCTGCTCCGTGCGATTTTTCTACGCCGATCTGGCATGCGTCAAGCAAGCTGCGGCGAAAGCCATCTACGGACTGCCCGGATCCAGAGTGATCGACTAGGATAATGCGCTCGATTTGCTTTTCGAGCAAGGTTGGCCCCACGATCTTTTCCCAGTACCGCTCTAAGCCTTTTCTGGTTGGTATGTAGCCGGGTGTACCGTACTTCTTGGCTTTACTGTTTGGGATAGCCTTCATGTGATATTTGGTGGTGTCAAATGGATTGATCAAGTAGCTGATTTAAAATATTACTTTTTGCAGGATTGAAAAATGTACGTGTAAGACTTACGAGCCGCTATTGCCAACGAAGAACACAACGTCGCCATCATCGAGGAGCTCGTCTATTCCACTTGCCAAAGTCCGGAGAGCTTTCTGCTCTTCCGTACTGTACTTTGCGATGCCACGTTTATCCAGATGGAACCCGTCATCTGGGGTATCTAGGGTAGTGTCGTTGGATGGCTGATCAATGTTTCTGATGAATATATCATCGGTTGTGGATATGGCTGTAAGAGGATGGGCCAACGACAAGGAAAGCAGACCAAGGAGTGCAAAGAGACGAAGTAGCCAAGTCATTGGCGCACCCATCTTGAAAATTCTGGGATTTGTTATAGACGTGGCAGAGACAAATCGACTTGAGAAGGGTTGAAGGAAGAGTATAAGGAAGGTAGAAGATCAATATGAATATTTATGTGGCGATACTATGCTCAGAAAGCTGAAACGCTGAAGTGAAGATGAAAGTGGGTGATGATAGAAGAGAAAGAGCAGCATAGTGTGTGCTTTTATATCAATGTTTGCGGGTTTCCATATTCTAAACCAGATGTCGAAGGAAGCTATGCCCCATCTTCCCTTTCTTTCTCAACTACTTCCTCCTCAAAGCGAGGCTCAAGAGGAAGCTGGGTCTGATCCTTTTGGCAGTCCTCAGGGAACAATAGTGAAAGGGAATACGGGATAAGGAAGCGTATTGTAAAGGATCTTCCAGCCATACTGTTGCACGGTCATAGCAGTGTTGCTCTGTCGACTATGGAACGAGGCCAAGACTTACAGGGCAAGTCGGAGAGAGGCTGGAGAACGGCAACCTAGTGGAATGACTCCGGATTACGGCCCAGCCGACGACATGAACAGGGGCGACAGGATTAGGAGCGTCTGTTTCCAACTACCTTAGTTCTCACGAAATCGTGGCTATAATGAGGTGTCTAGTTATCTTCCTAGGTAAAGTAGCTAAGTGTAGGTAAGATCAAGAAAGGAGGGAAGAGGTAAGCATAGGAGGCTAGTCCTGATCCATACGATCACGTGTATCCCAGAATAGAGCCGGGGCGGCTGAAATTAAGCTTGGCGAAGGGGCAGGGAATGGGGCTGGTGGGCTCTAAGCGGACAAGGGGCTGGTGATTAGAACGGGAAAACGTGCGGCGTGGCATATGTAAGCTTAAGTACCTGGCACGGTCACTCAAGAGTTGATCCTAGATTAGGTGTCCTGTATGGTGAGGTGTTGCACAGCCCGGCGATCCACTCGAACCGATAGACGTGGTTCTTGCCCTGAGTCCTCGAGTCCGAACTCTTGCATCTCGTACCTCCTTCAATCTCTTCCATTCAATCTAGGCTTCCAGCAATCGTCCGCTCGCAGAATGTCTGGACTACCACTCCCCTCGCAAACCCTTCTCGACATCATCAGCTTTTGTGATGTATCAACACTCAAGTCACTCCGGCTGACCCAGAAAGCGATGCGCGAGTTGATTGACACCTATGGACATTCTATCTCCACCGACATCAAGCTCCACTCATTTACGGCAGATGAAGTAGCCTCGTTCCAGCTCGAGGACGGCTTTGATTCAGAGCTCCAGTCTCTCTTTCTCCTTGATTATAGAGTTCGAACAACCCGGTGGCTCACAGATGTTGCCCTCGAAAATCTACAGGAAGACCTAGATTTTGGTGGGTTCGGAAATATCGGAACAAACGAAGCACAAGGCGACTCCATTAGAGGCCGCGTTAATTCTGGATGGAGTATCTTGTGGAGATTGTCTGATATAGCACATCAAGTCGTCTTTGAGAGGACTGGCCTCAATCCAAGGGATGTACCCAGACGAATCAGTTCTTTGACCCGTGGAATGCCACTCGTGCGGGAGCTCGAGACGGCCGTCAAAAACGAGCAGACAAAATACATAAGCGCCCTGTCATTTACCGAGATATACAATTACTACTTGCTACACAACTACCTGGCAGCTGTTTTCAGAGATCGTGTGTTTGAGGACCCGAGGATAGAGACTTCGGACTGGATCTCTGGCAATGAGTTCGGAATAGGGAGCTGTTGGCTGAACTGGCTTGTTCTACGAGAGGGTCCGAATTTCTTTGCGAAGGCATGGGGGAGCAAGGAAGGCAATAAAGAATGTGTAACGCTGATTATGTCGGAATGGCCGACGAGGCCCAAGGAGCAAGTGCTCATTGAACGTACTACTGCAAAGGAGGTTCATGAACATATTTTGGAAACCGGAAAGCCGCACGAAAATGTTATTATGTATAACGATTTGATGGGCTGGGCGCAGGGCGGCAGGGAGATTGAGAGAGCGTACCCAGATGTTGTTTATCACCTAGGTAGCCGCTGGCCGCGTCCCACATACTGTTATGCGTAGTATTGACAAGATGATAGTGATTACAGTTCTTGAAAGAAGACAAAATCGAATACAGTCTTCGTTCTCACTTTACTTACAACTTATATTTGTGAAATGTTTCATCATCCTCGCTAGACTTCTGTGGTGCAGGTCACTGTAAAACTGAAGAAAAAGCCCTGAATTGTAGATTAAGCTGGGGTCATGTTTAGGGAAAAGACCACTGGACACAGAGTCTCGGGGTTTCCTAGTGACAACAATCTTGTCGAACGCATAACATCAAGCCACACACCAATGGAGGCGGTCCTACGGGATGAAATTTAGCCCCAGCACATGGGATACACCCGAGCGGGCCCAGCCTCAAAAGACCCCAGCCTCATCGTGACTGTCGAGCGAACTACTATACGATACTTACCTTAATCAAGGCACACAGAGGAACCGCGCGCGGGTAATAGATCAATCGCAGTCTACATTTCTTTTAGCTCGCTTCCTGCTCATGGGTAAGGTACTTCAGCCTTGCAATTAGGGTAATCCTCCTCCAGTTTTCTTGTTGCGCTTACCTAAGGTAAGCTCACTTTCGTGTTGTTCTTCTCTGCGCCTCGTCTCACGGTCTCACCGACCTCGCAACTCCGTAGTTCATGCTAAGGCTAGCTCAGAAAGAAAGTAGTTATAGGGAATGTAGGGAATGCCTTGCCTGCTAGCGTAGACTAGGGGATGAGGAATGCGAACTTGACCGCTCGAGGATGAGATCCTACCCAGATTGTTTCGAGAGAAAGGATTTGCGAAGATAGTTCGAAAAAGTTGCTGTTCCTGTGAACTTTGAGGCGGACACCACAGACATAAGAACGATGAAAGTCGCATCCAGTTCGAAAGACATCTTGAACATTGTACAGACATATACAGTACATTGAGTCTCGTCATCATCCACGTCACATAACTCAACAATCGCTCCTTAGCAATCCTTCCCAAACGTTTCCGTATCCCTTCCGACTGCAATGAAATTCCTCAGTTGCGCTGCTCTGCTTATAATCATGGCAACCGGCATTGATGCTAGTCCCGCACCACCACCAGCCCATCAGGCAGTAGCTGCTTCAAAGGTCACCAGCTCGGCGACGAAGGCTTCTCCAAGTGAGTTCAAGAATTATGCTTCAACTTCTACTTCCAAGAAATGATAGACTAAGATATGTCATAAATCAGCGGCGCAGAGTGAGAGCTCCGACGTTACAGCTAAAGTGGTCTACGAGAACCCCAACCCCCCAGTGACCTTGCCAGACGATACCCGCCCCGTGGCCATGATTCCTGACGCAAGTACGGGGAGGAACACTGCGGGAGGAACTGCGACCGCAAAGCCTGCAGCCACACCTGCAGTCACACCTGCGGCGAAGAAGGCCGCTGACAAAGGAGGGAAGGTGTGATTAACTTGAAGTTATAAAAGTAATGGAAGTACTTAGTAAACACTCGGGAGGCATTACAGGAGCGGAGTATGGAGTTTTGCATTTTACTTTGGGCGCTTGGTACTCGTTTGCATGGCTGTTGAGACCTTCTCCATTTTGGATTTGCATAGGATCTTATCTAAGGAATATATCATTAAGAAAGCCAGATTGCTTTAACCTCCTTTAGATTTTGAGCAAACGTATCAGTTACCCTTCAGCAAGAGAAAATAAAGAAGGGCAACTACCCACCGACCTTGAGCAAATGACAAAGTAAGATCCCCATGAGCAGCCCATAGGTCCCCAATAACCATTCCCATTACGAATAGCTATCACGGCACACCAACGGTCCAGTTTGCTGGGAATCAACTGTTGATAGCTCATATACAAAGAATACGGTGGTATCAAGCTCGATTACAGGTTAGGGATCTGATGGAGAGCTAAACCTTCGTAGCTGCCCCTGATATGTGAATGGCAAGCTCTGCGCTGCTTGTCAAAGACAACTCAAGTCGGACTGGTGAAAGACGCTTGGCTTTTGAAATGAGGGGATTATAATTCGGACGTCCTCATATTCGTCCTGCTTTACGTAGTAGCACATCGTCTGGGTCACTAGGTGTCAAACGACTAGGATTCAATTTACACATCGAACAAGACTTTGCCAGCTCGTCTTAACCGAATAGTGATACGTTTCCGCCTGCTATGAGGCATTGTAGCCACCTTTGCAAAGTTTCTTGTCCTCTCACAACTCACTATCACCAGGCAAGGCGCGCCCACCGGCCGGCCGCCTCTTTCGCGGGTATAAAAATCTCGCATCGTCCCTCGCTGGCTACAACAATTCTCTTCGCATCGAACGTGCAGAGCTAGGCGCTGGCCTGCTTGATAGCCCAGAGACAGCCGTCGATTCGACAACTCCGAGGCCTTCTTGTAGTACTGACAAGTAACACGATATTAATGTCGTCCGCCAGAGGGCTCCGCTCTTGCCGCTTGCGGGACAAGGAGCTTTGACGTCAAATTCCCCTTATCCTCATAACGCCTATTCGCGCCTGTCGAGCGAGCTATCGCACCACAGCATTAGTACCTTACGGAAGGATCGCGCTTTAGGTAGGCCCTAAATCTATAACACTAAGATACTCCTATTACTTATATATAGCTGCCTCTTACTCTGTTTAGTAGTTAATTTAGTACTGTTGAATCTAACTCAATTTGTCACATTATTTTGTTACATTATTAAGCTTGACTACCATCAGATATTAGTGTAGCGTGACCACTTCTAAAGCTGCGTGGTAAAGGGGCTACTTGTTCACGGAATCTGTTCCTGGCACAATCATGGAAGATCTTGACCTCGGCATACAATGGAAATAACGACACGTACGCGTTGCATTATGCACACGTTGGACAAGTTACCGGTGGTCAGGTACTGGCCTAGTTGGCGGAGAGAAGGCTCGAAGACATCTCTAGGGCAAGTCCTGTACAAAAAACGAACTCAAACACTATTTTATAGGACGAGACTCAGATGTTCTGTATTACTTAACGAAACCAATAGCCTGGCTATTCATCCTCACTTTGCCCCACGAACTCCGGCAATCTCTTGACTACATCCGCCCAAATCTCAGTGCCATTTACCAAATTCACCACGGCTCCTAGTACATCATCGACTGATGCTCGTACTTGTTTGGTAGTATCTCTTTCCCGTAGTGTGATGGTCTCATCTTTTACTGTGTCGAAATCCACGGTGATGCCAAACGGGGTGCCGAGTTCATCGTTTCGAGAATATCGCTTGCCAATACTTGCTGATGAATCATCCACGTTATGAGAGATGCCAAGGGTGCGAAGACGTGATGAGAGCTTCTTCACATATGGCTTGAATTCCGGCGATCTTGATAAAGGAACTAGGAGTACTTTGGTTGGAGCAACCAATGGAGGTATTGAAAGAACCTAGAGGTAGTTAGCCGTTGTCCCATGTTGATCCTCGGCTAGATGAGCATCTCCTATCATTAAAGTGTCTTCTGTAGCAGCGCTCTTTGGTATGATTCGAAAATGAAGGGGATATGACAGCACAAGGGTCGGAGGAGAGGAGAGATACTGACCCCACGAGCTACGTCTCCCGGACGATGCCAGTATGTATGTTCCAAGAGACAGTAGAGTATCCGACCAATTCCAAATGATGGTTCGATGACGTTTGGGGTATAATCTCTAGTATTTTCGACTCTGGTCCGCCGTACGATGTCAATTAGGCTCTTGTCAAGATCCGCCTTCCCTTCGGGAAGACCAGGCACATCTATGGTAATGACCCCGTCTTTCTTTAGAATCTCATGGAAGGTCTCTCGTTGCTGCTGCGTGACAGCTTCTATAGCTTCTTCCACTGCCTTGGCGCCTTTTCTAAACTTCGGGCCTAGCTTCTTTTTGTCTATGTCCACCTGCCATTCTTCTATCTTCAGTGGATGCTCTCGCGCCTCTCTAACGACCAAAGCTTCTCCGGTTCGCTTAGAATGGACTGACAAGTCGTAGGCGCTACGATCTGCACATCCTACGCACTCAATCCAGCCGTAGCTCGTCAGGAGCTCCGCATCCCAACAGTCAGCAGCGTAGTGGGCCATTTCGTTGGCCATGTGTTGGCGGAATCGTAGTTTTTTCATATCGACGCCGATCTTCTCGAGGAACATGTGTATTCTGCCTACGAAATAGCCTAGTGTTTCGTTGTCTATTACTTTAGACTTGACCGCGTCGCCAATAGTCATGACCTTGGTTTCGGTGTTGCCAGCCAGTTGTGTATGCCGGTCGAGGAGTAGAACTTCCATATTTTCTACTTCGTCGAACCTTACATGCTTTTTACCGCCCTCTGGATCGACGAAATGTTCCACTTCGGCCATGAGAAACTCTCGTACCCGCAGAAGGCCAGTTCGCGGCGAAATTTCGTTTCGATATGACTTGCCGATCGATGCAGAAGCGAATGGCATAGTGCCTTGATTGAACTCTAGAAGTTTCTTGAAGTTGACGAATTGACCTTGTGCTGTTTCAGGTCGGAGATAGCCTATGGAACCACTGCTAGGACCAATCGACGTTTTGAACATTAGGTTGAATGGAACGGGTGGAAGGACTTCGTTATTCCCGTCTGGGTTTCGTATATCGTGCTTCTTTATGAGCTGTCCCAGTTCTGTTCCATCGTAGTTATCAATCTGAGATTGACCAATTAGCCTGCGCACTAAACAAATCGACGGTCGAGTTGAGATGGCTTACCCGCGCAAGAATCTCCTCATACTCCCTAGCAACGTCATCATCCAACTTGACCACCTTCACATCCTTCACGGCACGCTTCTTTTTCTTTGCATTGGCGGGGTCATTATCCTTCTCTTTGTCTTCTTCTGTCGATACGCCCCGAGCAGCCTTGTCCCCCTTCAATCTGGCCTCCAGGACATTCTCAATGAGGTGATCTGCCCGCAAATAATCGCCGTTCTTGGAATCTTTGCACATCCAATCCGAGAATTTGTCCACATGTCCGCTGGTCTTGAATACCTCTTCTGGCGTAAGAACAGTGCAATCGACCTCCAACATATTCTCCTCCAGCACGAAGTGCTTCCTCCAGGTATCCACTATATTCGCCTGCAGTGCACAGCCCGGGGGGCCATAATCAAAAAGTCCCTTAGTGTCTCCCACGAAACCGCTCGCAGTTCTGTATATTTCGAAAGACGGAGTGTAGAACAGTCGACGTTTAACTAGTGCCTCGAAGGGTGTGCGGTCGAATGCGCCACCACTGCGCGTTGTAAGTACCGCCATGGCTCGATAGTCCCCAGCAGGCAATCAGCGTGCAGATTGTTGATTGAAGGAATTGATCCGCGAGAAGTAGACTGGCAGAAGTTAATATATTTCTTGATGTTGACTCACAACGGCTTGTGATACACGGCACCCCCCCAATTGTTATGCGGCACCCCCCCAATTGTTATGCGGCACCCCCACTTTCCCTACCTAATGTGTCGGCTGTTGTAAATATAGGCGGTGAGTAGTAGTACTTTATTCTGCTTGTAATCCGTACCTCAATCTAGGTACTGTTACCTATTTACTATCGCCATTAACATCGCCGTCACATACCGGCTGTCGACCCTCCCTGGTCGCTAAAGATGTCGTTCCCTAGCCCCTTTCAAGCCCTTTCCAAACAGTCCCTTCTCTAACCCCTGTACTGATAGAACATGAGTAGTCAATGTAAGAGCGACAAAGATGGTTCCACTCTTGTGGTATTGTAAAGGAGAGTAGAGGGGAAGAGGAGTCTACCGCATAATGCTTTTGTTGCAGCGTTGTTGGTTGGTGGTGGTCATCGTCGGGGTGTGGGTGCTGAAATTTAGCAGCTACGCTACTGGAACCACCCTCAGGCTAACTTTCTCTGGAAGACCGGCGCTTCTCTTACCTTATTCCAACAACACCATTAATCTATCTCAACTTCAACCTCCCTTTTGAAGTCAATCAAGGAACCTTCGTACAGTGTTCTCTACAGAGATCAATCTGCTCATATCTAGATTCTCTCTCCCGAGCTCCTGCCAAGTATGTTCCGATAATAATAGCCGCGTCACGATTTCTCCGGGTACCTCTTCCAGCTGTTTACGATGTCCAAAATAGATCACCGCCATCAGCGCGAATTCGGAGCGACAATTCCGGGCCATGGTTGCGGTGGCCGAATGCCGGCGTCTGGTAGCGCGGGCGCCGGATGGACAGATGAGTCTGAACAGGCCTTCGTACGGATAAAGAACGTGTTTGTGACTACACCGATATTGGCACAGTCTGACCCAGAAAAACAGACAGTCGCGGAAACCAATACATCTACTTAGAGCACTAGGGGTGCCCTAATATAGCATGATCAAAACGGAGTGCTAGCCCTTGTTTTACTCGAGGAAGAATGCTCCAGCAGAATGGAACTACCAGGTCTATGACAAGGAAATGCTAGCGATCGTACGATGCCTTAAAGGGTGGGAGAGCGAGCTGTAAAGGTTGTCTTGTCGCACCAGCTCAGCCAGTATTTAGCCAAATGCTTTGAGACAATCATGCAGGTTTCTATCAACGCCACACCTTTGGCGTAAACGGATCTTGATTCAAAAGACTCTACGCCTAGGCCTGATCTCCACTCTTTAGAAGTTGGCAATTGACAATTTGACATCATCCGACAACTAATCCTGCCCTCCATATATTATGATTAGTACTGTTATTTACACGGGTAAGAGACTACACAGAGTACACCTAAAAGGTCGTATCTTTCCACTACACGTCGCCAAAGCGAGCGAACTGCTGAATGGTGCAATGAAGCAAACTACACAGGTGAGCTCTTTTCATCCGCACTCGCCGCGTTGTCGCTTCCCGAATCTTTTGTCTCGGCCATATTTTCCACCGCCACGCGGTCTTCGGTATGCTCCAGGACCTTTGCTGACTCGGTGCCCCGCAGGCTGTCGGAAATAAAAATGAGGTCGATCTCCTCAAGTGAACGGCCACGGGTTTCCGGGCAGAAAAAGTAGACTGTAGGTCTCGTCAGCACTGAGAGCGTTCGTCGATTTGCTCGATGGGGCAGGGGACCATACCGTAGGGAATTGCGATGACGTTAAAAACCAAGAACCAGATCCAGGTCTTCCACCCCACTGAGGGATCGGCTATAGCAATCGGCCCCGCGAACACGGTGACGAACGCCATGACCCACTGACAAGAGACGCTGAGTGCGAAGCCCACGTGGCGGTAGCGCAGGGGCATGATCTCGCTAGAGTAGACATACTACGGGACAGTTAGCAAGCGGCTCTACACTATGCCGCACACAAGTTCAGCAACAAGCAGGTGAAAAGCACTGACAGTGACGGGACCCCACGTGGGACCAAAAACAGCAATCCAGCAAAACAGCATGGCGGCGGCCGCGGCCCCAGTTGCGGGGCCGGGAGTGGAGAGCAAGCCTGTGAAAGAAGCCATGAAAACCGTTTGGCTGACGGCACCGACGATGAGCCATGTGCGGCGGCTGAACTTCTCCATCCAGTAGACACCCATGTAGTTGGTGATGGCGAGGACGGTGGTGGCGGCTGCGGCTAGGCCAGAGGCGGTCAGGGCCTTGAGGCCAATGTAGACTTCGAAGATGGTCGACGTGTAGTAGAAGATCATATCGATACCCATCAAGTATGCCATGCCAACCAGGATCATGCCGGTGCGGATACGTCTCGCGCTCTGCATCGCGGAGGTATCCCAGATGAAATCCTGGATACGCAGACTAGCGGCCTCCGTCCTCTCAAGCTCTAAAGAGGCCAAGATATCGAGCTTGGCTTGCTGGACTTTGCTGTCAGTGATTGACTTGCCGTAGAGGCGCTCGAGGATGGAATCGGCCTCGGCGGTACGGCCTTTGGCGTAGAACCAACGCGGGGTGTCTGGATTAGAGTACAGGACTGCTACAGTAGCAAAGGCCCAGAATACTTGGAACGCCACGGGGAATCTCCACACGGCTTGGGTTTTGGCGAAGACCATGCCGAAATCACTGCGAGTCATAAGTAGATGTCATGGGGCAGGATGCGCTTCTCTTACACCCAGTATGCGAGCGCTGTGCCAAGACTAGCGGCTGCAATCATCATGTTGACTCCCTGTCCACGCCTGTTGGTAACGACCGCCATCTCAGCTACGTAGATGGGGACCATGGAAGTCATGAAGCCATTCCCGACGCCCTAGGCAATCAATCAGCACTGTGTTCCCAGGAAACGGGTAGGATGCAGTAGCTTACAATTAAAACTCTGCCCGCGATCAATTGACCAGAGCTGTAACTTGAGGCAGAGATAATGGTGCCGACCACCTGCACGCCACAACCGATCAGGATCCAAGTTCGCCTTCCCAGAAGCATGCCAAAGGCAGCAATAATCATGCAGCCCAGCCATGATGCCAACAGGAAGACTGAAGTTATCATAGAAGTGGTGGTGGTGTCGGGATACTGTCAACTATCAGCTGGCGGATTGCTTCGCAGGCGCAGAACTGTCTCTTACTCCCATCGCACTCTGGAATTCATCCGTGAGGAGAACACCGCCCAGCACACCCGCATCCCATCCGAAGGTCACGAAGCCCAAACTGCCTCCGATGAGGGCTTTCCAGTACAGTCTTTCTCCTGTAGCGGCAGCCATTTTTGCGTCCGGTGTCAGAAGACTCCCGTGTGGTTTTGGTGTTCAGGTCTCTGGCGTCCTGAGGTGGGAGGAAGAAGAAAATTATTGATTTATGCAACTGTAGGTTATTGAAGCATGCATGCAAGTAGAAAGGAAAGAGGCTTTTCAAATGTCGGTCTAGAAGTGCAGGCCTTCCAATGGCTTCCGACTTCCGCACCCTGGATATGAGAACGCGGCGCGATAGGTGAAGGAGAGCGAGCAAGAATGAACTTACAATAAGATTACGTGCTAAAAACCGGCCATGAAATGACAGCTCAGGGACTGATCGGCGTGGCTTGCTTGTTCACACCTCGCCAATAGGAGCTCCTATGCGTCCCAGGGCTATCAAACCCCTCCCCATGTGCGTGGTGGCCGTCCTTGGATGTAACCGTCGGCTCTGCACTTCTGGAATTAGTAATTTTGTGCAGTATATATGCTCGTTCACTGCCGCTCATAATCTTAACGGCCTCTCTTTTCTAGTATTGATCGATTGACTTTGACTGATTGGTTGACTGACCAGTTCGCGACATGTACGTTAACATGTACGTACATTACACTGTTTCTCAGCGTGAAAGCTGTATGCGGGATCTTCCGTCGGCATAGGTTTTTGACGAGATCTTCTGTCGAACAGGGCAGATCGCTCCAGAGTCCATGGGTGCATTGGTGGGTGACGGAAGGTGCAGGAATCTGCGGGAAAATTGGCTGTTTAGGGGGCCTGTGCCGAGCATCAACATCTTAAGAAGCGCAGAACCCATGCGTGGGCCCGTGGGGGGAAGTTCTGCAGCAGATCTGACGGGGTCCGGGGTCGCCTGGTGGCAGCGGGAGCTTCCTACGGGGCGCCACGGGCCGGGACAGGGCTCCGGGGCGAAGGAGCCGGGGTTAGAGTTCTTGGGTCGATCGATGCTTTTATGGTTTTCCGGGTCGCATTGTTTCCATCCCACTTTCGTTCGTGTCGCTGGCTGCCCCGACCACCAATAACCCTGATTACCCACTCTACTACAACGTCAACCGGCCGGGAATCCTCCCTATCGTGTCCCAGCAATATACACGGCGGCGATTGGCGATCAAACCCATGAGCGGCATCGACGGAGTATTGGCCGGAATGGGCGTGTCGACGTGCCGCAGCGGCCGTGGCAGTACGGCTTGCGGAGTTGGGCCACACGCCGTTTGATATTTCTCAGCAAGGTGGAACCGTTCGTCGTTCGTCGCATAGAAACATCTTTTTGGTGTACAGTAGTTACGCTGCAAAGATGACCGCACTACTACCTGCTTTGCTCTCCAAGTTCACCTTCACCAATGCGGCTCTCGCCATCGTCGCATACATCCTCTATTCTATCCTTTACCAGATTGTCTACTACCGCTTCTTTCACCCTCTTTCCAAGTTCCCCGGCCCATTCTGGGCCAGTGTGACGAGGTTATGGGTTGCATATCACAACATCAAAGAGGACGAGCGCTTTGTGGAATACGACCTCCACAAGAAATATGGTATCAAGAGTTCCGCAACGACCGAAGTTCTATTCCTTAATACTGATTTTGTGACCACGTAACGCAGGACCCATCATTCGAATCACTCCCACGCTGCTGCTTGTCAGCTCTGCAACCGCGCTGCCCACCATCTACCACCGACAAGCAGACAAGACGAAGCACTACATCACGGGCAGTTTTGGAGAGACCGAGTCGTTGTTCAATATGCAGAGCTGGAAGACCCATGCGCATTTCCGGAAGTTAATGGCTGGCCCAGTACGTTACCACTGAAGGCCAGATCAATATACAGCAACTGACATCACGAATAGTACAGTTTTAGCAATATCAAGAAGATGGAGCCTCTGATAGATGCAAGCATTTCTGAGTGGATCCGCAAACTGGACGAGGACTTCGCTAAGCCAAACCGAAGCTTTGACTTCTCGCCTTGGGCAGTGTAAATCAGATCGTGCATCACTTACTGGAGTTCATGACTAACTGCTCCCAGTTTCATGGCCTATGATATCATCTCTGAAGTTGGCTTTGGGGCTCCCTTTGGTTTTATCAAGACAGGGACTGATGTCGGTGGGCTCATTCAAGGGTTCCACGACGGCCTCCCGGCGTTTGGACTGATGGCTCGTTTGCACCCCTTTACTACATGGGTAAAGACGACCTTTCTGAATAAGTATCTTGTTGCAAGCCCAGAGCAGGATTCGGGAATTGGGACGTTGATGCGTTTCCGGGACAAGCTGCTGAATCAGCGTGTGAAGGATATTGAAAATGGAACGACGGGAGATAGAATTGACCTTCTGCAAACGTACGTCTTGCAGGATCCCAGCAAAACCTAAGGATACGAGCTAATTATCTCCAGCATGCTCGATGCTCGCGATGACGATGGCAAGCCCCTTGACATTGAGTATGTCAAAGCCGAAGTCCTGCTTGTTCTCCTTGCCGGTGCCGACACGACGGGCACGGCCTTTCAGGCACTGGTGCACTATGTGATGAACGACGAGGCCGTCTACGCAAAGATGATGGCCGAGGTCGACGCCGCGACCCGCGCCGGCCGCCTCTCCGCCATGCCGCAATACAGTGAGGTGGTAGAACACTGCCCCTACTACATTGCCTGCGTCAAAGAAAGCATGCGTCTCTGCCCCTCGGCACCCAACATCTTTCCACGCCTGTCACCCAAGGGCGGCCTTGTCATCAATGGCCAGTTTATTCCGGAGGGTGCCGAGGTAACGTGCAACCCGTGGCTGGTTCATCGGGACGAAGGGATCTATGGTACCGATGCGAATGAGTTTAGGCCGGAGCGGTGGATGGATGCTGAGAAGGCGAAGCTGTTTGATAAGTACAGTATGACGTTTGGGTACGGGGCGAGGACGTGCTTGGGCAAGGATATTGCGCTCATGGAGTTGTATAAGGGGCCTTTGCAGGTACGGTTCTTGTTTTTCCTGCTTGTTGGCATTCAATTTGCTAACTGGTGCAGTTCTTCCGCAGTTTCCGCCCGGAGCTTTTGCGAGGGAAGAAGGAAGGGCAATTTGTAGTCAAAGGAGGTGTTGGGTTCTGGAAAGACATGTGGCTACAAATTGGGAGGCGAGCGCTTTTGGTATAAAACAGTTGTAAATCAGGACGAGTGAGATAGGATTCTGAAGATCGGACGCAGACGAGGTCTGAATTCTTTCTTTCCAAGTCTTAATCAATAACCTCTGGGGTCCATGCAGCCATTACGATATCTGAATTGATCAGTTTAGTTCCGATGTTTCTAAGTTTAAGAGCGTGGAAAGAGTATTGTCGCGTCCATTTTCCGCCTTCTAGACTCCCAAGTTTAGCGCGCAGTTCTTTTTAAGTATCCGTCGTGGCTAGTTCGATGTGCTACTAGATTTCTTCAAATAGGACGGATCAATTCATCCGGACTAGGTCAACCCCTTTTCCTGTGTGTCCTGACATTTACTAGACAGCGGGACGAGGCCGGCCCGGTTCAACAATATTCAACAAGGCCGCAGCTGGCAGGGTACCATCGCCCATTTACGTAGGGCGGCCCGTGCCAGGCATTACTCGTACCGGGTACTAATATATGCAGGGCGCCCCTTTCTCCGCGAAACTTTGGAGGTCCGTGGACCTTAGTTCGAAATACAAGTATACTACAAGGCCCTGATATGTCCAAGCTCGACTGGCTATATCTTGTTCTCCACTGGCTCCTCGGAGTAGAGCGTGCAGAGCTGAGTTCTGGATAACTCTAAAGGAGCTTCAGATGATATTGTCAACCTCAGCATTACAATCCTTCGTCGTCGTCTCCATTAGAAGCTGTTAATTATTCATTCACATCCATTCATTGTCATCATGTCGGCGGCGACGACGACGGTTAACCTGAGCGAGTCTCAGGGGCCGACGGCAGTTGCGATTTGCATTTTGTTTGCAGTCATTACGTTTATCGTTATATCTCTGCGTCTCTTTTCTCGGATTTTTATTATTCACAGCACTGGACTTGATGATGGTGGGTGAGAATCTCTACCAACGATGACAAAATGCTGATCATATGTCTAAAGCTTTGATGTCTGTAGCAGCTGTAAGCTTGGAAGACATCTGATACCACAGATATCTATACTGACTAGATACCCAGCTTCTGTCTTGGGCATTCATAATTGTGACAATTCTAGGTGAGTGAAAAGGAGTCGAGCATTGGCAGCGTTGGCTAATATATACCAGCTGTTCATCATGGACTTGGAGATCATATTCAGAAAGTAGAGGCAATGGGGGGCCCGAATTTTATAGCCTACGCCAAGGTAATAAATACACCTTCTCCCTACAAAGCTTTTCCGCTGATCTGTTAAAGATTGTATGGATGTCATCCATTTTCTACAACAGTTGTCTCGGCTTCATAAAGCTGTCAGTTCTAGCTCTCTACTCGCGGCTGGGTGATACGACGCTCCAGAAAATGGCCTTCATCATGATGGCGGTTGTGGGATGCCAATGTTCTGCCAACGTCTTGACCTGTATCTTCCAATGCAGCCCAATTCGGGGTGCTTGGGATACGTCACTAAAACCTAAATGTGTCAACATCAATGCTTTCTATTTATCGAATGCGGCGCTGAATATCCTGACTGACCTGATCACCTATGCCATGCCTATCAGAATGGTTCTTGGTCTTCAAACGCCAACCAAACAGAAGTTTGCAATCGGTATTATGTTCTGCCTAGGTTTCTTGTACGTTTACACGGCCGATGACCATTCACTTTTCTCGTCGCCCTTTCTTTAGAGCAAGGCATTGGACTGACAATTGGCTTTCAGTGCCTGTATCTCCTCTATCGTCCGCATAACCTTCGTCCCGGCCATGCTCACAAGTCCCGACGCCACCTGGGCCATTGCCAAGCCTATGTACTGGTCCGTGATTGAGACAAACGTGGGCATTCTCGCCGCCTCTATTCCCTCCTTTAAGCCAATTGCCCGCCGCTACCTACCCCGTCTCATTGGGGAATACAGCTCGGGCCGCAACTACGGCAACAACCTTTCAAGCATGCCTAAAGACAGCACGCTCCAGCGCCGCCAGTTTAGCAACCTAGACATAGACAACGACATGATGCTACGCCCAATTGGAAATAACGGTATGACGACGACAGTTATTGCGAGCACAGACTCGGATGATGCTGGAGATGCAAAGTCGAACACGGGTAGTGAGCAGGATCTTGTGCAGTCAAAGGACCATATTACGCAGTGGACGCATATTACGCAGAAGTTTGAGCCGGCCCCTTCCAAAGACGCATAGGCTGAACGTCGTGGGTCTTGAAGAGGACCATTGAGCCAATGCAGATTTGAATATGACCACCGCAGCTGGCATGCGCTGGCGAGTGATCTTGGGAGGGTAAGCGGAGGTTGTGTCTCAATTGAGATGTATGACTACGATAATTTTTGCGCCGTGGCAGCAACAACGTTAGTGTCTATGCCTCTATAAAATAGTTGAATAGAAAGTTTGATTTTTCACCAGGATTGTCCATGACATCAAAAGTATTAGGCTCAAAATAGAATATCATTATGGGTCGTCACAATACCTTTCAAAGACCGTGCCTGCTGATTAGCTATCAACGCCGGGGCAGGGATGTGAGAACTTTTGCATCTAAAGCACCCGCCTAGTTTCATAGAGTCAAAGGGGAATTTGAACATCGGGGTGCTTGAGAAGCAGGGGGCGAGGGTTCGGCCGTTGAGCTAGGATTTGGCCGTTGTCGAACTGATGGGAAGACAACCATTCTTCTTCATTGTCGATCACAGACCGGCAATTTAGGGCCACGCTCGGTTTACTATACGCGGTAAGGGGGGCTCCGCGGCAAACAGGTATATAGAGGTTAGGTTGGTAACCCATGATATCGGCAAACAGATACGCGGTAGTTAGTCTTTTGGAAGCAGCTCCTACGGACTAGCTACTCAAATTAAATTCACTTTACCGACGTCGGCCGCCCATGTCGCTCAAGAAAATGCAATCTAAATTTCACCCAGGCCAGTACCATCAGCGGGGCCGGATGGCTAGGGTGGCTAGACGTTGACTAGGGTGGCCAGTCCAACCCCCTGCCCAACTACCGTGGTGTTTTGCCATCTAGTTAGGTATGTACTGGTCTGTTGCCGTAGGGTCTAGCCTCAGGCCTCAGGAATCCGGGCCGCCACACCTTATATGATCCTTCCTCATACCTAGCTAGATCTTTAGACCTTCAACCACTACCACGAGAACACCAACATTCAATTCGTGGCCTGTAGACCGACTCTCTAACCAAGTGATCGATGTACTATATCTGTGCCCATTAACATCTACAAATTGAAAACGTGTAATAAGAGCTATTATCCGGTTTTTCTTGGGAGACTAAATTACTAGTGGACGACAGGCGCGGAATTATGCCGAGAGGGCTGGTTTCGAGGCCTGGTCGTGTACGTAAAGAAGTACAGCCCCTAAGGTAAGGGAAGGTAAGTGTTGTATATCCGCTAGCCGGGGGAGGGGGCTACTAGGCCTTATTCTAATCCAGAGTCGTACAATCTCTTGCTGTATAGAGTCGCATATGTTGAAAGATCCTGTCCGTAGACTAGGCATGTATCTACCTAGGCTGATCGTGTACGTACTCAATACGTAGGCTGGTCGTGAGACCTAGTCCTGAGGACAATTAGCGCTAATCCGCTTTTGCTTTCGGGTCGGCTCGTTTAACCGGCTCGTTCCGCGTGTGGAAAGATGGGGGGTATCCGACCCAACTTGGCGGGGCACTAGTTTTCAGGGGCGAAATACCTTAATAAGCGAGGAACATCAAAATCGCAAGGCCTCAATTTAAGACCATACCTAGAGCTTCACATTTCGGGGAATAAATAAGGAGGAGAAATGGCTAAGGATAAAGTTAAAGCTTGAATCTATCTTTCTCTTTATTGTCTTTTGTAATAATGTGTGCGAACAGTCACGAGATCCATGTCGCCTGAGCGATTGCGAGCGGTCTACCCAAGCGAAATCTCAGGGAAATAAACCGGATCAGGTTTAGCTCGTGGCAGAATTCGAAAAAAGTATGATTTGACTCACCTCGGTCACAACGCAGAAAGTACAGCTTCACGGCATATAGATCCTACTGAAGCCATGGACAGTAGCTTAGTGAAGTCTATTGCGCATCACCCCAAAAAACTCAATGCACCGAAACCAGAGAAGAAAAAGACACCCAAGGAGCCCAAACAAGCCCAAACCCCCAAAGGCCCAACATCGCCGAAAGCAAAAGGCCTAGCCGCCACTAACGATGTCACTATAGATCCGGATGCAGTGTTCAAAATTTGGAAATTGCAGATGTATACAATGAGAAATCCGTTGGGTCTGAGGGGATAGCGAAGTCGTTATCCTGTTACCTTGAGAGTCTAATAGGTTTTCTTCCCTTGGGGCACACCAAAGCGATCATGGTTCATTTCGGATTTGCTAGATTTGGTGGGGGTGAATGCTATCTCCGCTTTGATGACACAAAACCATCAGGCAGATAAGGAAGTTTCCTCATTGCTGTCGAAGAGATTGTTAGCTGGCTAGAATTTAAGCCCGTGCGGGTCACCAGTTCTAGCGATAACTCTCTCGGCCTGTATGAGCTGGCAGAAGATCTGATCAATAGGGGCAGGACAGATATTTTACACTGTGCTAGTAGGTTTCTAACATTCTGTTATTTTAACACAAGTGGTGTGCGAGTTCTCAGGTCTCTTGTTGTACCTGGAATTGATCTAAAATTATATTTAGAGGCTGAAGGCGTGGACCAAGGGAGCGGCGGCGAAGGCAAAAACCTAGATACGCCTGTCCACTCAGTGTCAGCCCTTTCTCCGAGACTTCGGCCGAGTTTCAAGCAATGGGAGATAGAAAATATTAACCACAGAAGGCTGTCATTTGGATGAAGGAGGATTTGGAGTGTGGTAATCCCTAAATGTGGGATTTGGCGGTCTAAGGTGTCGTATGCTTGATGATAAACGCTACATACACCACATGACCGGCGATGGGTGGAAGACATATCCTACGTACGATTTAACATACTGCCGGTGCGATAATTTTCAATGTATCACACACTCATTATGTGCTACCGAATTCGACCTTTCAAGGGTTTCGTATGAGTGGCTTTGTGACAGACTTGGTGTTCCGCGTCTGATGCTTGTTCTTGATCCGATGGTCCGTGTTGTTAACTTGTTATTAAGAAACATCCTAAAGATTTCATGGAAATGGTTGAACTGCCATTTTTCAAAGGTCCTGCCTATGGCGTACGTACTTTCCCTATTACTAAGTTATTACATGGCGTGGAGCCCCAGCCGCTGTAACTTATAGGTCTCTAAACTGTTCTTAAATTTGCATTGCAGCTATTAGAATTGACTTACTGGCTAACTACTACTCAAATTGGTCAACAGGGTTCCATTCACCACAATAGTCTACATTGACCGTGACGAACTTTGAGAGACAGTCTCTAGGGACTTCCTTCGGCTCGCACCGGGATCATCTGTTGGCCTCTTCAAAGTTCCCTATCCAAGTACTGCCACTTAATTTGGGAAAGATCCCGAACCTAGCTTGGTGACGTTGATTTGCGCGCATTATGGAAAGCCGCTGGAAGGAACTGCGTTCTTAAAACCTAAGACGTATGTATAATATCCACGGCAATTGGTTTTGCACCAGCAGTTTCACCCTGCATTAAAACATCAAAACTCCTTAAATGGCAGGATACGCTTTGCTAACCACGTTATGTTTAGCTATTAATCATAAATCAAGCTTCCCGCTGTCCTCTCTCGTCTTCTTCGATAGTAGTAATCTTATCCACAAACTTCTAAACAATCACATTCTCCTTCCGCCTCTAATCATTACGCCACGAACTATCGAACTCGCTCTACTTCACCTTAGCCTTAAAACCTTTCATTTTGTACTCGTAGTATTTTTGTAGGACGTGATTGATCTCCGTGCAACCCGAAGCAGACTTAAGGACGCTCAAGGAATACATCGACGTGAATCTAAACAAGGGGTTCATCAGGGAATTGAACCCGCCAGCAGGCAGCCCCATACTTTTTGTACCTAAACAGGACGGGACCAAATGATTACAGGTGGACTGCAGGAAACTGAACGCCTTAAAAATAAAGTACCGGTGTGCACTACCTTGGCAGACGAGTTATGGGACTGTCTGCAAGTAGCAAAGATCATCACTCAACTGCAACCTTGTTCGGCTGAAGGAAGGAGAAGACTGGAAGATGCGGCTCAGGATATGCTATAGTCGCTATGAAATCGATGTTCAAAGGGTATTCTAGCTACGTACAAGCAGATGATCCTCTATAAATAGCCCCTAAAATCCATCTTATACAAATACCCAATTGAATGCCACTTAAACAGACAGACACCCTGCAATAGCTTATGTTCTCATCTTTGCGGGGCGGAACCTAACAAAGATACCCAAAGCCTAAAGGTAAGTTTTTTTTAAAGAAAATGTAACACTCTAGTCTGGAATTATAATAGAATAGGTTAACGTTATCCAAGTATTCTTAACTAGTATAGGTACTCGTTACATGATTAAGTATATATCTATAAGGTATGTAACCCTACTTAGTAATACATGATATATGTAACTTATAACTATCTTATATCTTATTCTATTAATACCTATTATATTTTATTCTTTTCTCTCTCTCTCTTAGATTCTTATACGTAGGACTAATATATTATCAGGATTACTTTTTAACTCTTATTTCAATATTTTTTCCGTTAATTAATATGGCTTCTTATATATAAATTATACTATAGCTTAGGTCCAGCTAAAGTACTTACTAAACTTGATCTATAGGAACCTCATTATCATGTAACCTAGTTGTCTCGTAAGGCATGGGCTTAGAAAATTGAGACACTTCAACCAGAAGTAAATCTACAGATCTAGACGACTATTATAGCAATCCAGTTAATAAGAAACCCTAAACTATACACCAGGATAACAGTATAGCAGCGCAAGATTATATAGAAATAGCGTTGAACGAATGCCCTTGTTATGCTTACGAAGACGGGATAAAATTTTAGAACTTTTGCCTGAAATAGAAGACTTTAGAGACGTCTTTACGGCCTTTATGTCCGTCAATGAATCATCTAATCATAAGCCTGTTTTATCCTAGAATCCCCTTCTATACATAGGATATGATTTTACCTTGTCCTCCCAGAAAGGCCAAGAATAGTCAGGACCAGGACAGTCCTCTGACTCCTTAGATGTGAACCCATCGCACCAGATCTTGGCGGCATCCCTTCCTACAAAGTCTCCCTCATGGCCCTTTAACTCTACTACATTACATTTCTTTGTGACGGCGGCATCATCCTCTTGATATACACAGTCCATTCTCGAAGTCCACACATCTTTGATCTTGCTCCCCTGCATACGATCAGGAAACTCGGGGTCTTCTAAGTTCTGGTGGGGAAGACGTCTGTAAAAGACCGCTTTCTCGGGAATTTGCCCGAGACCTCCATCGAGATTCGAAATCCAGGCATGAATATCACAAGTATGAAGACGGCGAAGAGTTGTGAATATCTCAGTTCCAAAATCGCACACAGGATCAAAATCTTCGTCGTCGTCTACGCACAAGCCTTCCCCATTTATCTCAAGGTAAAGCTCCTCCAAAGATTGGGGAAGCTCGGCGATAAAATGAAATAGATCCTATATCTCCTTAGACCGAAAAAGATTATTCATATTTGAAGTGGTGTGTACTTACAGGCTTGTATGCGTTGAAGTCCAATCTTCCATCGTCGCGATAGGGACCGTTATTATTGTCTCCGTCTCCCAGCCGAAGAAACCTGAGACTTGTCCACGGACGAAAGAGTTTGCCAATAGCTGGTGAGAATGGAACGTCAATGTTTGTGACAGAGAAGCGTTCAATGGAGAAATGGGGACTCGCGATATTCGTCGTAAGTGCATGGAAAAATTCATAGCCGGTCATGTTTTCCCCAGTTTGGCCTGTTCTGGTGGCCTCCAAAGTTAAATCTTTTAGGTCTGGCAGCTGTCTACAGACTTGCAGGATGAAGTCCAACTCCTCTTTTGTCCAAGGCCTATAACCGACAGGAATTGTGACAGACTTCAATGACTGTCTGTGCCTCCTAATAAAGTCGAGAAACGCTACCTGGATCTCTCTTCGGTGTCCCCCGTCGTATTGATATCGAAATCCAAAATGTCGTAGATGTGCGAGTTTGGGCGCTGGAGTAGCTTGCGCTCCACGATATTGCTGAACTCTGTCTGGTGAGACTACTGGTAGCTTGGGCAGGGACGTTCTCATCTGGCAAACAGAGATGTCTAGCCATTCCAGACTAGGGCATGTGGCTTCAACGACGTTCACCAGGAAACCAGCTGTATCCCATGGGTTTTGCTCGCTGCTATTCCACCCAGGTGGCACTTCCCATTTGAGGGTTGTCAGGGACGTAGGAGTCATGCTCCAGATGTGCTCTTCCGGTTTAAGTCCGTAGACAGTCAACTCTACAAGCTGTGGGTAAGACTGTACAGTGGCAATGATGTAAGCAGCCAGTTGATTTGGCGTAAGAGAGGCTCTAGAGAGATTTTTCATATTTTGAGCTGCGCCAATGAGCATAGAGCTGTCAGGATCTAGAGTCGCATCTTGAAAGTCTCCAAAAGGGTTGTGGTAATTTTTGAAAATCCGTACAAGGGCCCCTAATTTTGGATTTCTGGAGATGATCATTAGCCTGAACAAATAAATATCGGACGATGATATATACTCAGAGATAGAGCGCACCAGCCGAAGCTGTCGCCGTTTGGATTTGGCATCGGCGTCTGGATCGTAGCGCTCATCTATGCTTAGGTCGATGTGATTGTAAAGTGCTGTGGTTGAAGCTTCTCCTAGTGCTCGACAGACAGAACTGCAGTTTCGGAGGTCGGCAAGGCCAGGAGACAGGTGGGACACAACGTTGTGGAGAATGCTCTTTGGGAGCGCATGCAACCCTTTCATGTTGTCGAATAATAATGGAGAATAATGGACGATGATCGGTCGTTGGGTCGGGACCGTCCCGTAGAAAAGTGTCATTTTTTCTTTTCCTGGTCGAACTGTGCCGGGGTGCGCACTCTACTTAGTCAGCTACCTTTACCGTACGGTTTATAAATAGGTTGTCGATCTATCAATCTATCAATCTAGCAATCAATCAATCATTTAATCATTTATTCGTTCATCCATTCAGCCACTCACTCACTCACTCACTCCTATAAAGAGCTGCCCACTTGTATTTTTCCGCCGCATGATTATTTCCAACATGCTTTCGTCCCACGAAGCGCTCTCTCATTGTCCGTGGCTCCTCCTCGCCCACTGGGAGTCTACCCCGTCTCTCTAACTCCGGGACTAGCAAATTCACAATATCTTCATATGTGCCGGGCCATGTCACATACGCAAAATTGAACCCATCAACGTCTGCCTCATCCAGCCACACCTCAAGTTGATCTGCCACCGTGGCTGGTGAGCCGATAAGCAGTGGGCCATTTCCACCAATGCTCCCAAACTCAGCTAGCATTCCAGTCGTCCACTTCTCAGATTCCAGGTGCTTCCAGCGGTAGGAGTCGACCAATTTCTGTGCGAGCGGTGTGTTGGATAAGTCTTGATCTCGTGGATAGGGGCTCAAGTCCAAGCCAGAGCCGCCCATCAAGGTCAACGCTCCGTCGTGGTCTGCATACCTCTTGTTCTCGAGGTACTTGGCCTGGGCGAGCTCATCAGTCTTATCGATGATTGTTGTTACCTTGACAATGACCTTGATCTCCGCTGGGTCCCGTCCGAATTTCTCTCTGGCTGTCTTGCGGATCACGTCGACACGGGGCCGGATAATATGCGGCGCATGCCCAGAGACAAAGACGGCCTCTCCATGCTTTGCTGCAAAGTCCAAGCCGACCCCACTGGAGCCTGCTTGGAAAATAAATGGAGTCCGCTGCGGCGATGGAGCAACGAGATGCGGACCAGCTACGGAGAAGTGCTTCCCCTTATGATTTATCGGGCGAACGCCTTCTGGCCGGGCCACGGTCGACGTGGCTTTGTCATAAACAAGTGCGTCCGGGGCCCACGAGGATTCCCACAGCGCATAGACAACATCCATATACTCATGAGCAATCTCATACCGTGTGTCATGTGGCACCTGCGTATCAAGACCCATGTTCTTCGCAGCGGACTCCAGATACGATGTCACGACGTTCCAGGCCACCCTTCCCTTGGTCAGATGATCCAGCGTACTGAAGCGCCGCGCGAGCTGGAATGGATGCTCATACGTTGTCGAGACGGTTACGCCAAAGCATAGGTTCTTCGTCACGGCTGCCATGGCAGGGACAATCAATGTCGGTTCTACCACTGGGAATTGTGTCCCGGTCTTGACGGCGCTGTCCATGTTCCCCCCATAAGCATCGTATCCGCCGAGGACATCGGCTAGAAAAAGCGCATCAAATTTGCCGCGCTCAAGCAGCTTCGCGATGTCTGTCCAGTGCTCCAGGTCTGTCACCTCTGAGGAATGGTCCTCGGGATGCCGCCATTGCCCAATCGACATGTGCCCTCCGCAACCCATCACAAAGGCTTGCATGATAATGCGCTTCTTGGCTGGGCTGATGGCGGCGGGGATGCCTTCAGAATGAGTTGGACTTGCCATGCTGGAGCTCTCAATAGGATCTGCCCATGACCCTCGAAGCTTGCCGTTCGAGATGAATTATCTATATACACCTACATATATCATGTGTCAGCCGTTCTGTACGGACAGCATTTAGCGTTGATATCGGGAATGGTGATACCTACCCCAGCAATCACAACATCGGTTACATCCGCACCAGCAGCGAAAACCCACAAATTGCAACGGGTTACGGTGTATGATATTGAAGATTTGTCGGATTCTGCTTATGCGAAAATTGATTCCCTGAATCCCAGTGAACCCAAATTGGTCATACTCGGCAGCGTCACACAGTTGGATAAATGGCCCCATGCTCTGTAAGATGGCTTTAGCACTTTCTTCTCCACAAAATGGACGATTGCAGCAATTGAGGCGCTGTGGATACTGACGGCGCAGGGATTTGTTTAGACCTAGTATAATCTTTTACTCTCTGTCTGGAGTCTGGGCCGAGAAGCTCCAACTTGGCGGATGTCCGGCCCGCTGCTAGCCGCAGGCGGGAATGAAACCAGCTTTTTTCTCTCTCTGTTTGCCGGACCTGACAGATGGCTATTATTTTCATTGTCGTCCTGAGCCCAGCAGCACAAGTACCATAATTGCATGGGATTCCTCTTGTCCTCTACGTACTTACTAACATCGCTACTTACGAATATGGGGCTTCGCGCAGTTGATCGGCTAAATATCCCTGAATTCGCCGCCTTTAATACACACAGACGGGCGCCAACACATATTTAAAGAGTGAAGAATAGTGGGGTGAACAAAGAGAATGACCAGGCTATGGGCAAAATTCCAGCGCGGAGGAAACAATGATGAAGTAGATCCCAGCGATCACAACATCAACTTATTCTCCAAGAAATAGCCTCCGTTATGTTACAAAATAGCATTCATCGGTCTCGGAGGTTTTATGTGAAGGTATAAGATCGTAAGTTATCTCCTTGCTTCATTCTTTCAGATTGTTCTCGCCAGGAATCAAGATGGGGAAAGACACATCAACTGCTATAAGCTCCGTTGAGTCGCTGGAGCGGAGCCCTCTACAAAACGTCAGCCTCTTTCGAAGGGTTTTTCATGGGACGCTCGTTCAGGTTCTGATTGTTGGACTGGTATCCTGTATGAATCCTGGAATCTGGAATGCCTTGAACAGTGAGTCACCACGCTTGCGATCTCGACATCAATGGCCTAACGGCCTCTTCATTCAGGTCTTGGTGCAGGAGGTGAAGAGTCGCCGTTCCTTGTCAATGCTGCGAATGCCATTACCTTTGGGTAAGTAGGGCCTTCAGCGATATCCGAATGTTTCTAATAGGGTGTTTAGCATCATGGTCTTTGGTTGCACTGCGGGAGGCATTGTGTCAAACAAAATTGGCCTGAAATGGACGCTTGTAGTACGTTGCCAGTCAGAGTATGTTATTGAAGAATTTATTTCTGACATCAGAAAGCTTGGAACACTGGGCTATCCCTGCTATTCTGCAAGTCTCTATACCAACAACCGCTATGGAACCGTGTGGTTTGTACTGTTTGGTGCTGTGACATGTGGATTCTCAGCTAGTATGTTGTGGGCCTCTGAAGCAGCGATTGCACTAGGCTATCCCGAGCACAAGAAACGCGGACGCTATGGTGAGGCCCTGTCCTTATAACTCGAAGCAGAGTATTATCATTGACATATCAACCAGTTGGTATCTGGTTAGGAATTCGCGGATGTGGCTCACTTATTGGTGGTAGTATTAATCTTGCCCTTAACTCCAAAAATGCGAAGACAGGCAAAGTCGGCTATACAACCTACCTTGTCCTCATAGCCATCCAATGCTGCGGTCTCCCTTTTGCTCTTCTTCTTTCTCCTCCGGACAAGGTAATCCGTGATGATGGCACCAAAGTCCCCAACCTAAAGCACACAACTTGGCTTAAAGAAGGAAAAGCTATCTGGCGACTGATTCGAACCCGCCGTATCCTCCTCCTCATTCCAATCTTTATTGTCGGCAACTGGGGCAGCACTTACACCAGTAACTACTTTGCAACGTACTTTTCCGTTCGCGGTCGTGCGCTTGGTAGCTTCCTCACAGCCGTCGCGGGCATCAGCGGCGATTTGTTGACAGGTTTGGCGCTGGATTACGAGCCATGGAAACGCAGCTTCCGTGCTAAGATCGTGTGGGTTTGGCTTCTGAGTCTGATTTTGGGATTGTGGATCTGGCAGACGACAAACCAGGTGCTGTATGATCGTACATCCCCGAAACTTGATTGGATTACGCCGGGCTTTGGGAGGGGGTTTGCGCCTTATATTCTTTGGAGCTTTGCATCGGAGTCGCTTAATACGTATCTTTATTGGACAATGGTATGTTTTCTCTCTTTCTGTTCCACTCTTGTTTCCACTCCACCATGTGCCAACTCTATCCATATAAACCTTCAATCCAGTTGTCCAGTAAACTACTAACCCTTCCCTCAGGGAACACTCGACGACGGCGTCGGCACACTAGCCCGCACTACTGGCCTCCTCCGCTCCTTCGAGTCCCTTGGCTCGACCTTCGCATTCGTAACCAGCGCCACGCACTGGAAATACATCAATACCCTGATACTTGCATTTGCGCTATTTGTCTTCCAAATTCCGTTTACCACGACGGCCGCGTGGAGTGTGCCCGAAAAGCCATTTGTGGGTGATGAGCAGAGGGAGGCAGAGGAGGCGGAGGCTGATAGTAGGGGAGAGGCCGATAGTGATAGCGAGAAGGGCGCAGGTGTGGCGGTGGGGAAGGGTGTTGTAGTGTAGATTAAATGAGGGGCGATTCAAGGGTAGATAAATGTATATGAGTGAAGTTGATGTCGTTACAAGCACCATCAGCTTGATAAGTGGGATTTTATATGTTGGTCCTACTGGACTAAACTTAAAAGAGACAGCGCCCCTTAATTCCCGTTCAACTAAGTCACAGACAATCCTACCTTCAGAGAGATGACTCCAGATGCAGAAGAAGTGGTGGAGTTCCTATTGGATCGATGTTCCGATCTCTCGATCAGGGATTACTAGGGAGTTGACTTATCACGAACCAGCGAAATCACCTCAGATCTCTCTGTATGTTACTTAAAAATGGGCCAATAAAGTCATAGAAGTACTCGCTCACAGATTACTCAAGAAACGCAAATAAACTCTACTAATGTTAGTGAACTATAAGATAGTCATCAAGCATCTGCTAAAGATTATAGGTCAAGTGATGGTAAGCTGTAAGTCACTTGCAAAGAGCACGCTAGGCCAGAAGTTAATTCTAAAGCCTTTTCCAACCTCCTGCACGGTAATACACCGGTAATTCCTAGAAGTTGAGAGAATCAGAGATAAAAGCGGGCAATTCTATTATGCTATAGTAAAAGACACGCTTTTCCTCTCAATCTAGAAATAATATTCATGCTCCTGGTATTGCCAAGGTGCGTTTCTATGACAATTGTATTTTATCCTATTTTGGCCTTATTTTCCCTAGCCTCCATACAGATTTATTTCTCGTACTTCCTCAATTTCATACCGTACTCGACCGGTGCTACAACCGAAAAATCATAGTATTCGTACTTTGGCCGTCCCCCCAAATACTTCTGGCCGTTCTTCTCAAGGGTCATGTCCCACCGAGTAAGAAATTTTGCTAGCATAAGTTTCATCTGATTGACAGCAAAAAATCGGCCAGGACATGCTTGGCTACCGAGCCCAAAGCCAAGGGAGTCTTCAGTGGCCATTCCCATCTTAAATGCGCTTTCGCCAGACTTATTGTCCTCTCGAAGACGCATGAATCGGTGCCCATCGAACTCACTCGAGTCATCACCGAAGGTATCTGGATCAGTTGCAATAGCGGCGGTAGCAGCAGTCGTCATTGTCCCAACTGGAACATGTGTTCCTGAGACTTTGAACGTGTAGGGTTGGGTGACGATCCTGTTCATGGTTACTGCGATTTGTTAGATTATAGTAATTAAATGTTGCACCATCTTGACTCACATAAAAACACTGGCGTAAGCCTTTGGCTTTCTTTCAAAAAGCAATCCAGCTTGAAGAGTCTGTCGATGTCGATTGATCCATTTGGTAGTATAGCATCTCTCGCTTCTGCGCGTAGCTCATCCAGGTATTGAGTCTGGGTCAACATGTCCACTAGTGCAACACTGATTGTCTTTGCAGTTGTATGTATGGATGCGATCAAAGTTCGCATCATGGTATCCGAAAAGTCATCCAGAGTAACATCATCAGGTGCACCGCCCCACAGCCATTCATATCCAAAAGTACCCTTGCGATACTTTGCTTTCTCATTTGAACTCAGTAATTCACGCCTCTTGAGGCCCTCATACATAGGTGTAAGTTGGGCCTTCACATAAGACCTGCTTTGTCGCAGTCTCCTGACACTTGGTATCATAGGAGCAACCGCCCTTGCAAGATATGGTGGCCAAGCTCGTACATCATCTGCAGATTTGTATCGATTCACGGCAAAGTCGCACGTCTGACGGATCCATTCGGGCTCAGAAGCAAGCTTCTCCCCAACGAGCAAAGCGTTCGTGATATTGGCTATGGCAGGAACGAAGAAGTCCATGAATGTGATCGAGCCTGGCGAAGTCGGATTTTGTGGCAAATGCATTTCGAAATATTGGTCAATCTTCTGGTCCAGCTTTTTTGTGATATCCCCCAGGTTCTGATGTATCCCAACTCGGAGAGCTTTGCCAGACCATGGACCACGGTTTGGAGCGCCAGTATAGTCCTGCGCAAAGATAACCCCCGATGCCAGTGCCCAGCTGAAAACATTGTTCGACAAGTGCTTCATCTCTTCCAAGTGATCCTTAGGCAGGATTACACGATATTTGACCGAATATCCTCCAATCGGGATCAGAACCTTGAAGGCACGTCCGGATTTATTGTACTTGCGATATCCAGTCTCTAGCAAGTCCCTCAGGTCGCTAATATACCGCGGTCGGGAATTGTCTCCATCTGCAAATTCGTGGGTCGGAATATGGTCTAGGGCACGCGATTTGCACCAGCTCTGATAGAGACGGTATAGTAAAACAACCATTAAGGCTGGCAGAGCACCTATTATGATCGCTGTCCGCATGTTGGTCTCAATCGGATAATGCAGAAAAAATTATTGATTTCAGTTTCTGGTGGAGGAAATGATTGATCAGAAGTCACTTGAGCCTTGAAGAGTAGTGGTAAGGAGTCGTTTATTATACCGGAATCTCAGTCAACGGAAGACATTGCCGAAAATCAAGAGCTTGAAGATCCTCCGTTACAGCTTTGCTATTCAGCTAACAGAGACGTTTCTACGATCATGTCCACTATCGCCTGTGAATGGGACGCCGCGGCTTTCATCGACTCCGCGGCTGCACTTTCTCGGATCCCCACACTATTCCGCGGGACGGTTAAGCCACCTCCGCAAAGCCTCCGCATATACAAGCCACCTCCGCAAATACTCCGCGAATACTCTCGGTTCCCCTGAATGTCTTGGGTTGTGACAGTAACTTATTGTACCCCTCAATAACGAGCTTTAATCCAAGAATTTACAAACCTAGTCTCCGTTCCGAATCTCAAGGCAGCGTAATTGATTGACCAATTATAACGACTCGATTTGGAATTCCAAAAGGCTACGTCGAATCAAACTATTGCTTCCTAGCTCAGGAGCGCAATAACCGTTACAATCCTTGGTAAAAGCGGCCGCAGATTACTAGACAGCCAAATTCGATTAAGACCTGGAATGTATATTTCATCCGGAAGCCACCTGATTATACCTTTCTTGACTTGCTCCAGCCTCAAGAGTTAAATAGTCCCAACTTTTCCTCTTTTCGGAGCCCAAATCTTATACACGACTTATCCCTTTACTATACAGTAGACCCATCTATTTTTAGTGCCTTTCTCAATATGTATACCGACGACGTTGAGTCTAAAGCATCTGCACATGGACATGAATTTGTCCCAGAAAACCCAGCATCAGACGGGGCACTCAAGCTCGATCCACATGGATACCCGCTTCGTCCTCAACCTTCTGATGATCCCCTAGGTTAGACGCTACAGTACAGGTTGATTTTTATCTGAAGAATTCTGGCTCTGACAATCAGCAGATCCTCTAAACTGGTCACCATGGATCAAACTCTTCGTACTGCTTCAGGTTTCATTTTTGGGTTTCCTTGGTCCATTTTCCCAAGGCACCGTTGTAAGTCCTCATACTTCAAAATATTTGCCATACGTTTAATAATATGAACCAAAGAATTCCGCTTTTATTCCACTAGCAAAAGCTATGAACGTCACTGTTACTGTAGCTTCCTACAGCACGACGATAGCTATAGTGTTTGCTGGTGTTGCCCCTCTAGTATACTCTCCGATTTCAAACGTTTATGGACGGCGGCCGGTGTACATAATAATTACTGCGGTAGGTATTGCCGCTAATGCTGGCTGCGCTGTTTCCCAATCGTGGGCCCCGCTCCTGGTTGCGCGCGCATTTGTAGGGATTGGGACATCAGTTGGGATGGGTATAGGGGCTTCTGTGGTTTCTGATATGTATTTCATGCATCAGCGTGGGTTGTAAGTTGTGTTGCGGCTAAACTCAACCTTGTAACTCTATGACACTTACTATTCTCCAGGTATATGGGTATATACGTCGTCTTGTAAGTCAAACCGACCCTGAATATAGCTTCTTGTACAGCTTACAACAACAAGCGTGACAAACGGCGCACATGTTGCAGCCATAGTCGGTGGCTTCACAGCCAAATACGCTGGATGGCGCTGGTGCTACTGGGTCCCAACAATTATCCTTGGAGCTACCTGGCTTGTTAACCTCTTTTGCCTCCCTGAAAGTCTTTACCATCGCGATTCGATTACAGGAGCTTCCCACGAGAACACGCGCTCCTGGTCTCAACTCTTCAATTTCAAACGAGTTTCCACGCAGCGTAGACTCAGTGTGTGGGACATTACTCATTGTTTCATAATGATGAAGTATCCTTCTGTGCTCTTAGCAGGCTTCTACTACAGCATCGCATTTGGTGCAGGAACTGTCTTGTTTGCAGTAACCGGTGCCGCAGCATTTGGTAGCATTTACCAATTTGACACTGCACAGGTAGGATTAGCTATTGGCCTGTCTACCACTGTAGGAGCTACTCTTGGGGAACTGGTCTCCGGGTCAGTCAGTGACAAGTTCTTGTACTTCGCCAACAAGCGACATGGAGGCGAAGCAGAGCCTGAGGCGAGGCTCCATGCCACTTGGCCTGGAGCTTTTATTCTTCCAGCTGGTGTGATTATCGAAGGCGTATGCCTGCAGTACAGAACACATTGGTCTGGCCCGGTCATTGGCGTCGGTATCGCCGCTTTCGGTCTCCAGATTGTCTCTACAAGCATCTTTGCTTATTTGACGGATTGTTATAAACCGCAGTCTGCTGAAATTTCGACACTTCTAAATTTTGGCCGTCTGACCTTCTCCTTTACACTTGGTTTCTACATGGTAAGTAAAATCTTTCCACCATCTTGGCAACAGATATTCCGGGAATTGGGCTAATACGTTATTACGACAGATTCCATTCGCCCAGACCACCACCTACGGCATTGCTTGGGCAGTTCTTGCCATAATCACTTTTTCTTTGTACTCCGGTTTGGTTCTTCTGATGTGGAAGGGTGCCGAATGGAGGAAGAAGCTGGGCAGGCCTAATTTCGACCGCACCTTGTAGGGTGAGCATAGTCAACGGTGTTATAGATGGTTATTTAAATTTTAACTGTGCAGCATACCCACATGTATTGAATTGTTATATGCATGGAGTTCCATTTCTGTGGTGAACGTATGTGTAGCCTAAAGAAAAAGAAGACAATTCTCCGTTGTACATCGCAACCCTAGATATTGCATCGAATCATTGTGAAGTGTAGCAAAGCCCTATAGGTATGGGACCAAAATAGACGGACAATGAAGTGTCGTAACTTAACATAACACATTATCAAGTCTCGTAGTTTTATTGACATATCATTCTCATCCTAGGATTCGTAGCCAAAACTTCTCATGAGAGTAGGTTTAAGAGAAGGCCGTTTCGGTTTTATTGTCAGAAACCTTAGTATTCCATTGTGATGTCTTTTCTTTTAGCCAATGGGCTTATTATCTACAATACAAAAGTCTCGAGAGCATTTGGTGCGAATATTTCTTCTGGATTAAATTTTCGTTTCGAGAGTCCTTGCTGGAAGTGGTAATCGAGGAACTTCTCGATCACATGCCTGTTTTCAGTGAAGCCGTCCTTCCACCATTTCATGTCTCCCATAAGTTCTTGCGTCTCCTTAACATGATCCTCTAACCAAGGCAGCATATATCGCAATGCGGAACGTTCTTGTAGCGGCTCATACGCCATCTCCAAGGATTGAGCAAATGCCTTGGTCAAGGTCTTTGCGATCCAAGGATTTGCCTCATAGACAGTTCGTTTGAGCGCAACAACGTGCATTATTGGAAAAATGCCCGTTTGCTTGTAATAATTGGCCTCAACTTGCTTGAAGTTAGGGAACAGAAGCCCGACGTTCGGGGAGGTGTCAAATGAGGACGGTCTGCTGGCACTAAATATCGCGTCGATTTCGCCGTTGGCGAGCATCTCAGAGAGATTTTGACCTTGGTTGATGGCAATCACCTTAACGTCTTGGGGCAACGAGTGCGATATTTTGCTGATTCTCGCATGTTCGGAATATTCTATCGCGCCAACAAAGAATTGCACACTGCTAATCGGTACACCAAAGTGTTCTTCCAAGATCCCGCGTTGCCATACAGCAGCAGTCACTGTAGTTGATATGATCAGCTTTGTGGAGGGGAAGGGGCTTTCAAAAGAATTTGAGCGCACTCTGGTATTCAGGAATGCCGATCCTCTTCCCTCTTAAATCCTCGGGCTTTAAAATACCCGCATCCTTGTTGACGTACATCGACTGGTGGCGGAAAAAGCGTGATGGAAAGACAGGTATCGCAATAAATGGCGGCCTCTCTTGGTTTAGCGTCAAGATGTATGAGGATAAAGAGAGCTCAGAGACATCAAACTCTTGAAAACGAAGTTGACGGAAGAAGCTGGATTGGCGTTCAAGGTCAGTTTGGGGGCGTTGAGGCAAGGCTGATCCATTTCAGACAGTGGGGTAGCTATACTCACGTTTCTTCTACCCGGTAATTCAAAAAGGTAAGCTCAATGCCTTCCGGGCGAACCCTGCCATCCTCGATTGCTTTCATGCGATCATAGTCCCAGCAAGCGAATGAAAGCTTGAGCACCATCTTTACTGTTGTTCTTTCCGGGATTGACTGATATGTAAAAGAGAATTTAAGTCTCAATCGGTAGCAGAGAAATAAGAGTTCTGCAATTTTGAGGACGGTTATAAGGATTATTGCTATCGGGTATTCACCAGACTACTCCGGATCTAACCGTTCCGCGGCTCTACTTCGGTACTTCCCCGCCTCGGCTATCTGCGTTCCTTACCCCGCGAACTAACCCCACAGGCCCCACAGGCGATTTTCTTATGTCGACGACGTCCTACCTTAGACACCATTTTGTCTCTTGTTACTTTATGCGTTCCGCTCGCGCATCGAGATTCCCAGCCGATACCTCAGCTGAACCCTCTTCGATCCGGAACGATGGCCGAGGAACGGCTCAAGAGGCGGAGATTGCCCTCACGGCATGCTTGCATAGGGTGTCGAAAGAGGAAACATCGATGCGATGGCGAGCGCCCTGAATGTGGAAACTGTCGAAGCCGGTGGATCACATGTCTATATTCATCCGATGCAACGACCTCGAGCCCGTCGTCCCTAGGGGAGTGAGTGACGGGTCTCCTCCTTTGTCCGCTGCCTAGACTTGATCTGCTGCTAATGAGTGACAGGACCGGGGCTTTCTCGGCATCCAATATTCACAATCCACAACGTGGTGGCTCCGAGCCACGGCACACTCCGACCCTCATGAATAGACAGCAGATTCAGCAACAACTGGTACAGCAACAACCGTCATCGCTGTCCATCTTAAACCCAAGCACTGAGACTAATGGTTTGGACATCCTTTGGAGCGCCTCAGCAGACCACTTGAGAGTCTCAGGTGATTCTGTACATCTGGCTGGCCCATTGCCGCACCAATCGAATAACATTCAACCGGGCGTGTCCGCAGAGCTACAAAACAGTGCTTCAAATCCCTCGTCTCCAAGTGACTCTGGCGGGCCTGATGGGTACTTTGGAGATTCATCAACATTTGCCTTCGTATCAAAGGTACAGCCTGAGTCTCAAAATAACAATGGAGTACATCTGCAAAACAGCCGGTATCAACCCACGGGGGGTAACGCCAACTGCAAATTCAGAGATAAAGAAACAGTTTATGAACTTCCAGAGCGTCACTTGGCCGATAGTTTAATTGACGGATACTTCGATCGTGTCCATCCGCTTTACCCATTTGTTCATGAAACTAGTTTTAGAGCTGAGTATGAGAAGATGTGGGCAAACTTGTCCGGATCGATCTTACGACCGTCGTGGTATGCACTTCTCAATCTGGTATTTGCCTTGGGTTGCGAGTTCTGTGATGCAATTCCAGAGGGAAAGGTCATGACTACCGTTTCACCTTTTGTGGCTCGGTCCCGAGACATTATCTTCTCCCACATATTTAAGAAAGGCAATTTGGAACTGATCCAAGCCCTACTTTTGATGTGTCATTATCTGCAGGGTACTCTAGAGCTCAATGAATGCTGGAATCTCGTTGGGTTGATGATTCGGACTGCCGTCACTATTGGCCTTCACTTGAATCCCGATGGCTTCTCGCTCTCAACTGTAGAAAGGGAAGTCAGAAAAAGAGTTTGGTGGGGCTGCTTCATTATTGATCGGACTTTGAGTATGAAATTTGGCCGGCCGCCGTCAATTCAAGCAGCAGATGTGTACGACGTACCGTTGCCATTACCGGTAGATGACCAATATATTCACGACGACTCGTTGGCTCCTCGACAGCCTGCTTGCCGCCCGTCAGCAACGGCATTCTTCATTCACACCATAAAATTGTCCAAAGTAATCGACAATATTCTGCGAGATCTGTACACTACTAACAAGAGGGCGTCTCGACAAGCTGGTGTAGATACCATGTTACCTGAAAGCTCTAATCAATCTCAATTTTTTGGCCACGCAGTTCTCTTAGATGGCCAACTTCAGTCTTGGTGGGAAGAAGTACCGGCGCATCTTCGTCCCGAATCTGTGGTTGCAGATGGACAGATCTTCCAACGTCAACAAACTGTCATGCAGGTTAGGTAGGCTGTCTGGCTACCCATCAGATTAATTCGCGCTAATCTTAAAAATGAGATACCTGCAAATACGCATCCTTCTGCAACGGCAACTGCTCCTTATATTCAGCCGGCAACAAATTGACGACCATTTCCTCCGAGCTATTGCCATTGCGGGCTCTCAAACTTGCATATATGCTGCTCGTCAGACCGTACAAATTATCTACGGTCAATACCATCGTCGATTACTCAATTCGTTATGGTATAACCTTCACTGTATGTTATTCTTAACTACACGCTATCTATACCATGCTGCTGAGTTCTTACGATCATTTTTAGACATCTTCACATCAATGGGAGTCCTACTACATGTCCAGATGATGGATAAATCTAGATTGGAATTGTTGGGCCAGGAACTCGAACAAGAAACGCTCGAATGCGGTATGGAATTCCTGAAATCTGCCGGCAATACAAGCAACTTAGCGGCTAAATATGTCACAATGCTGCAATGCGTTCGAAATCAGACAAAACAATGGTCGAAGGACAACGTGCAAAGCAACAGAATGCATGGAAACGGCTTTGGACTTGCTTCTCAACAGACGAGGAACCTCGAAGCATCAAAATCCCCATTGACTTCCACAGCACAACCACAATTTCAAGCACATGGGCAACAAAATTCCCAAGGAGATATTGATCTAGATGGCATGAACTTTGACGACTTACTGTTCGGCACAGGATTGCCGCAAGACGTCCTCTCATTCAATTATCCTAACGGTGGATTCTTACTATGATGTCTGGTGCGGCCACGGCGGATGTCATTCTGATGCTGGAAATGAGAAGCCGCCCCTTCCAGCTGATTCTGCTATATTCCGCGGAGTACACCGACAAGGATAGCCAGCCGCGGATCGGACTCGGAACAACCATCCTCAAGCCCACTAGTGCCCCGCAAATTGTTTGGACCCCGCAAAGCATACTCGCACTAGCAGATCCGGAGAACTTCTCTAGCGGCATAGTCTTTTGCTGAGTGAAGAACAAACTCAGCAAGCGCTTGCTTACATTATAGTCTACCCACGATCCTTTCCAGGATCTTTCGCACACCGTATATATTGCTGCGCCAAAAATGATATTTGCTCTTTGAGCACGATAGGTCTTATCGATATCTACATTATTGTCTCTAAATTTGACATCTTTCTTACCTTTTCCCCGTTTGCTTTCTGGTCGTTTGTTATGAAACTAGAGTCATCCTCGCCTATTTGAATCATATATCGATATATTCTGCATTCCGCTATGGTTCAGCACGTAGATGTCCTGATCTGCGGAAGCGGCTCTGCTGGTTTGTGTGCTGCAACATGGCTCGCACGTTGTGGCATTACTTGCAAGATCCTCGAGAAAAACTCGGGGCCAATGCAGCTCGGACAGGCTGATGGTGTTCAGTGCCGGACTGTTGAGGTATTCGAAAGCTTTGGCCTAGCGGAGGAGCTACTGCGAACAGCTTATCATGTCCTTGAGGTTGCTTTCTGGTCATCAGACTCTAATGGAAACCTCGTTCGCACACGACGGACGGCGGACACAATGCCCGGATTGTCTCATCAACCGCATGTCATTCTGAATCAAGCCAATGTCAATGGCTTTCTGTTAAATGCAATGAAGCGCTTTAATGAGCAGACGGTCGACTATGGATACACAGTCAAGAATGTCCACGTTAATGGCATCACATCCACACAAACCAATACAACGGTCAATATGAGCAGCGCTTCAGCAAACGATGATGTATATCCAGTAACGGTGACCGCAGAAAGATTTGGAGTGGAAGAGATTTTCAAAGCAAAATACGCACTGGTAAGTCAACCTGAAAGGACGCATGACTGTTACTTTGACTGCCGCTTATCAACTGAAGGGCTGTGATGGTGCGCATAGTAGCGTACGCCGTTCACTTGGGTATCAAATGATTGGTGACAGTACTGATGCCGTTTGGGGTGTTATGGATATTTACCCTCGAACAAACTTTCCAGATATCAGAAAGAAGGCTACCCTTCATTCGAATTCAGGCAATCTACTAGTAAGCAATCCTTTCGTTTCATATTTTCTACTGCCCTCTGTGGACATCACTATAACATGAATCTTCACACCTCTTGGCCCAGATTGCTCATATCACAGAGCCTGAGGTATTCTTTGGATTCCTGTTCGAAGAAAATGCTGACAGGTTGCGATACAGCTAATACCACGGGAAGGAGATTCTCTAGTGCGCTGTTATATTGAGCTTCCGCGGGGCACAGTTCCAAAAAGTGTGAAACTCGGAGATTTGCATTACACAGCCCAGAGGATCTTCTATCCATATTCACTAGAAATCGCGGAGACATTCTGGTGGTCGGCATACGCGATAGGTCAGCGCCTTGTGAACTTTTTCCACAAAGACTATCGAGTTTTCCTTACTGGTGATGCTTGTCACACTCATTCTCCGAAAGCAGGTCAGGGGATGAATGTCAGTCTTCAAGATGGATACAATCTTGGGTGGAAATTAGCGGCCGTCCTCAAAGGACGAGCTAGCCCTAAGCTGCTAGAAACATACAATCTCGAACGCGAGAAGGTAGCAGCCGACCTAATCGATTTCGATCGTCATTTCACAAAGCTCTTCTCGTCGAAAGCCAACAGTACGAATGGTCATCCCCCTGACTATTTCGCCGAGCAGTTTATTAAGGCAGGCCAATACACAGCCGGCTTAACGGCAAAATACGACGATTCTATAATTACGTCTGCTACCCGAGCCAGGCAAGAATTAGCAACAGGCCTGAAAGTCGGTATGCGGTTTCCTAGCACTCAGGTGGTGCGGTTTTGCGATGCAAAGGCAATGCAGTTGATCAAAGCTTTGCCTGCTGATGGTCGTTGGCGTGTTGTCATCTTTGCTGGAAACCTTCAAGACTCGGCATGCGTTGAGCGGTTAGATAGGGCAAGTTCTCATCTTCCTACTACATGGATATAAAACTCACTGAAACATCTCTAGCTTGCAAGATTTTTGTCTTCGGAAGAGGGACCAGTCCGCCAGTTTACTGCACCAGGCGAGGACATTGATAGTTTTATTGAACCAATACTTGTCCTTCACGGAGATCGATTGCAAATAGAGCAAGAGCAGATCCCATTGTACTTCTCTCCAGTAAACGGGAAATGGCGAATGCGAGGTATGGACCGATATAACCAGATGACCCATCGCTCACCAGATCCACTTACATAAACTGCTTTAGACTTGTTCAAAACTTTCGTCGATGATGAGAGCTATAATGCAGGCCACGGACACGCGTACAAGAATTACGGCATCAATGTAGCAGAAGGCGCAATTGCGATTGTTCGCCCTGATCAATGTACAACATTCTATCTTCAAGTCCTTTTTAGCTTACTTGGTGCTAACATTCTGCCTAGATATCTCCCTTGTCACCGCTCTTGATGACCATCAAGCTATTGGGGATTTCTTTGGGGGCTTTGCCTTGCGTCCGTAGACTCCGGTAATATGTAGTCTATTAGAAATAACTCAGTATATTCAGGATTTGGCTCTTTGTTTCTATTGGAAAAGGAAATCCCCTTTCTTGCGACACATGACTTCTAGTGATATTATTGCGCATGCTGGCGGCTAGCTGGGGTTATATAGAAAGGAAGGGGGGTTTTTGTCAGATAAAAGAGGTTATATATCACTATAAAGAAGTAGTAATAACAGGCGAATTCAAGTTAGTTAGAAGTAGATTGAATTAAACTAAATTAAATAGAGTAGAGGGTAGTCCCCTACTCTATATACTTAAAAAAGGGGTTACTATTTATATATATAGGCGCCGTATCCGCTATAAACAAGGTATATAGGTACTTAAGTACCTAAATCCTAACAACACTATAAACTATTAAAAACAGGGTACAAGGGATCAATCCCTGTATATTAATTAAGGATCAGTTAGTAATTAGAGGAACGTGTTCTATAACCCGGTAATTAATCCTACTGTTTGATATACCCCCCTAGGGATTAAGCTGATTCTAGACTTGACTAGAGAGCTAAGTACTAGTACGGCTCTCTCTCTAGCTCTCTCCCTAATTAGGTAATAATAAAGCTATTCCTATACCTAAAGGTGTACTAGTACTTACTAGTACGGCTCTCTCCTTAGGTAGAAGGTTAAAGAATTAAGGAAAGTACGTAATAGTAAGTACTTAATTAAAAGGGGCTTAACGTTTAAGTCCTAAAGCTCCTTAAGAACCTTAAGGACTCCTAGTACTCTAAGTAGCGAGACATGTTAAGTAATAAGGTCGAGTAAGTAGTAGAAATAAATAGAACTAAAGAATATAACTATAGAAATAGTTAAATCTCTAAGAAAAAAGGAGTAGACTTCTTAAATAAGAAATATAGCGTAAAAAGTAGACTTCTTAAATAGGAAATCAAGCTTAAGATAAGAACTAGATCCTAGAACTCTTACTTGATCGTTTAAGTAAGAATTACCTTTAGACTAGCGTAAAAGCTAGTTCTAGGTATTTAGTAGTTAAACAAAAGGGTTTCCTACCTAAATAAAGGGTATTTAACTACCCTAATCTGTAGGCTAGCTTTTGTTTAGGTTTAGGGTCTTAATATCTACTAGATTAAGTAATTTAATAAATTCAATATATTTCTAGTGTAGTAAGGCCTTAGTTAACCTATCTACTAGTATATTATTAGTTAACAGCTACTAGAGGTTAAGTCTCTCTTTAGTTACTTTTTAGCGTAGCTAGTGTTAGTAGATATCTACATGCTTAAGCTTAGTAACTAGGCATAGAGTTCTTAATTATATAAGGCAGATAGTTTAGGCGTTATCTACGTTAATAACAAACTCCTTATATAGTTCTAGAGTAATCTTAGTAAAGAAGCGTTACTACTAGTAGAGATCTTTTATAGTATAGAAGAGAGCTAATAACTTAGCCTTTATACTTAATGTAGTAACTGTCTTTTGTTTAGTTAATTTTTAGTTAATAAGTCCTTTAAACAAGTAGAACACGTATCCTTTAGTACTCTTCTAGGTCTTTAGATCATTAGTATATATAGTATTACTAGTGTAAGTAAAAGCTTTAGAGCCTTTATTACTACCTCTAAATTAGATCTCTAAGTATTAGGTTTTATAGAGATATTAGATTACTTTATCTACTACTCTTTAGTACTCTTAGGATAGGTTAGTAAAGAACTTAGACAGTTTGTTAGCTAATCTAATAGCGTCTAGCCTAGTAACAACTATAGTATAGAGAATAGATCCTACCTTACGTTAGTAGCTATAGATCTCTTAAGGGAAAGCCTATCCTGTGTTTAAGACAAGTAGCATACTTTCTAGTAGTATAAGAGGTACTTTCCTGTCTTTTAAGTAGAAGGTTAAAGTAATTAACTTAATATAAGAGTCTTAACTAAGCTATAATCTTTTAGTAGATCTGTCTCTAGTTACCTTAATACCTAAGAACTACTTTAATTCTCTTATATTACGTATCTTATAGCTATTAAACAAGCTCTATTTAAAGTTTTAAAGGTATTATTAATATTTCTTTTTTACTAAGATAGTAATATCGTCTATATAAAAGAAGATAATAAGGTATTTATTTATATAAAGATACTTAGCCTCTAGAACTAGATATAGGCTAAACTTAGCTAGTGTTTTAGTAAAGTAAGTATACTATAAGAGAGGGGAATAGCGTAGCCTATAAAGAGCTTTAAGAAGGAGAAGAACATACTCTAGGTTATTAAAACCCTTAGGATGTTTAATATAGACAGTCTTGTCTATATTACTATTAGTAAAGGTATTTATAGCGTTAAGCTAGTAGATCTCTAGATTAAAGTAGTATACTATTACTATTAAACCTCTAAATACTTATAACACTAAAGTAGTAGCGTAATTGTCTTAGCTAGTTAGATGTTAAAGATCCTCTCTAACTATAAGTCTTACTTTAAATTTGTCTAAGAAGCTATTAGTATTAAATTTGTATATAAACACTTACTTAACTAAGATAGCTAATCTTTTAAATGTACTCTTTAGAATAGTCTTAAAGGTCTTACGTCTTTTAAGATCCTTATACTCCTTATTTACTACTACTATAAATTTATCCTTATATTAGTAGTTTTAAAGCTCTTTCTAGTTGTTAGGGACGCCTAGTAGTTCTGTTTTATAGATCCTTCTTTTAGTGTACTCTATTCTTGTTTAAAAGGTAGTATAAAAGCTACTATAGGCTCTAATTTGTTCTATTTAGATAGCGTAAGCTTCTTTTCTTACTCCTTTATTCCTTATTCTTATTAGAAGTATATTAGCTAGATTAAGACTAGTAGAGTTAGATCTATACTACTAGACCCTCTATTAGGTTTTATCTTCTAGCTACCTCTCTAGTATATCCTTATTTATATCCCTTATTATAACCTTATTAATATCCCTAGTTACGGTTTTACTAGAGTTAATAAGTAGAGAAAGAAGAGTTGTTAGAACAAGTAAAGCTCTTAGTGTTAAAAGAGGGTTAAGAGCCTATAGTACTAATAGATTTGTTAAGTTAGCTAAGGTAGTTCTCTAGGTATATAAGTAGTAAGTTCTAGTCCCCTTCTCTACTTCCTTAGCTAAAGGGTTCCTTATTATTATAAGAGTTATAATAAGATTAGTTAGATCTGTTATTATTATAAGATCTGTTAGATCTACTAGTAGATTAAGTAGTGTACTATCGCTATTCTTAATAAGAGGATTAAAAGGATCGTCTTCTTCTTTAATTTACTAGTTATATTTACTAATTACTAGTATTTTAATAGCTTTAATTACTTCTTTAGTAGCGTCTTGTTTATCTTAAGGCTAGTACCTTTATATTTCGTTAAATATAACGTCTCTACAAGATATTACTCTGTCTCTTACTAGGATCTAGACCTTATAGATATTAGTAGAGTTATATCCTACTAGGTATCTAACAAAAGCTCTTAGTTCTAGCTTATTAAGACGTACTATATTCTTAATTAGAGTGTAGGCTTTATAGCTAAAGGCATAGAGGTAAGAGAGGTTTAGTTTAGAGTAGTAAAGACACTTATATAGTGTTTTCTAGCCTAAAGAAGTAATAAGAGATCTGTTTACTAAGTATCTAGCTATTTTTATTAGTTTAGGCTATAGCTTTAATAGTAAGTTAGATCCTATTTTTAGTACTCTTACTCTACTAAGGAGTACCCTTCTAGATCTTTTAATTAGCCTATTTTAGGCTACTATACGTAGTACTAATTGTTTAATAATAAAGCCTTTTACCTCTACCTAATTATTAAAATCCCTCTTAAGAGACGTTTCTTTATTAAGCTTAATCTAGTAGACTTTAGCGTTAAAGTGTCTTTTAATTAAGAAAACAAAGTGTTATATAGTAGCTAGAGAGCCTTGTTTAGTTATAAGAATATATACAAAGCTTATTCTAGTAAGATCGTTAAAGAAGTAAAGGATATATACCTCTTTAGAGTCTATTAGGTATATTTAAATAAGATCTAAGTAGATCTTAGTAAATAGTTTGTCTATACACTTAATAAGAGCTCTAGATATAATCTATTTAGCGTTTACTAGGTAGTAAACCTTATATAGTAGGATTAAGTACTAATCCTTAGGTACTAACTTAACTCCTTTAGTACTAGTAGCTAGACGTTAGATTGCCTTTATACGTAAGTACCTTATCTGTCTATACTAGAGTTCTACTAACGCTTTTAATAGTACTCTTAGTAAGTGTAAGTTAGTTAGAAAGGCCGCTAAAACAGCTATTAATTTAATAGTTAATATATCTATTACTACTGTTTATAGCTTATATTTAATTAACCTTAGTTTAGAATTAGATATAAGGTAAGTAAGAGTACTATTAAAAGAGATATCTTAGATTACTAGAAAGGCGGATCTAGTAGTAGAACTATTATATTTAAGTACCTATTAGTTAAACTTAATAAAAGTATAATAGAAGGTATTATTCTTATAAGTTAGATAGTTTTCCTTTGTATCTTAGTAGACTCCTTTCTAAATTATCTTACGTAAGGAAACTACGCTAGTATAAAAGAAAAGAACAAGGGCTATACTTCTTAGCTCTATACTAAATTTCCCTTTTAGGCTAGTAAGTTAGATCTTAACGTCTCTAAAAGCTTTAATTTAGATATAGTCCTTACCGGCTATTAAAACACTCTTTAGTAAGGCAGGCCTAATAGAGTAGAAGTATAATCTATTATTATAGACATAAATAGTTACTCTTAAGTCTAGAATAAAGCTATCCTTAAGTAGATAAGTAGGTCTAAAGAAAAGGGATTAGACTAATTAGACTATTAGAATTAGAGTTAATATAAAAACCGAGTAGCTAAAGTTAGTTTAATAAGCGTTAGACATAGCTATAGTAAAGTCTATAGTAAACACTTTTAAGGCGTCTTTATCCTTGTCTTAATTAGGTTTACTATTCTTCTTATTACTATTACTCTACTTGTTCTCTTCTTCCTTTCTTTTAATTAACTTAATTAAAGCCTTAAGCTTACTATTTACGTTTAGCTAATCGTTAATCTTCTTTTAGACGTTATTATAAGGTTTC